GCCCATGACAAACCCAGAAGAGAATCCCTCCATCTACAAGTAAAGCCTCCAAAGAATAAAATAAAATACAGCTTGGCCACAAGATCAACTAAAATCCTGAAACATCATGGGAGAGGTTTTTTTTCTTTTTTAGTTAAAAATGATACTACAAATTAAATGATAGCTCTGGAGGAACTGGACAAGAAACAAGGGTTGGAGAGGCTTGGAAGGTAAATTAACAGCTCAGTTCCCAAAGTACAAAAAATTACTAATAAGCAAGAAACTGAAACAACAAGAATTATCAGCTAAAATGTATCCTATCAGAAACAACCAACCGGGGGAAACAGTGAATGAAAGAATTTAACAATCATTGGACAACCTGAAATCCATGACCAAAAAGAACCTGAATATATTTGAGTAAGTCTGAAATAAGGAAGGAAGGGCTGCTCTTAGAACAAGAGGGCAAAATGAACATGGGAAAATCTGCCAATCACCTCGTGAAGAAAACTAGGAATGTCAGTCAAAATTCAATTCGGAACCTCAAATAAAATTGGATTTTTAAAAAAATTAAAAGGAAGGGGGAAATGGTGTGAATGAAAAGCCTGAGAGATAGTATTTCTGGGTAATTAATGAGAGGCTTTGTCCAGATCACTTAAATTGAACACAATGGGCCAGAATTCACTTAAATTAGCTTCTCTTTACACTTTAATCAGAAGTAAGCTCTCCAAGATTGAGGAGAATGTTTCATTTGTCAGCCCTGTCCTTCACAAGGACTGGGCTTTGACTTTGAACTTTGAATGAGGAGGTAAAAAGAGAAAGAACCCTACTAATAACTAATCTACTAATAATTGGTTATTAATCAGAAAAAGAATATATGGGTTCCCTATGCAAAATTGTTACTAATGTAATAAGAAAATAATCGTTTTTCTCAGGAATACACTAGGGAAAAAACGAAGGAGAATAGTTACAGCTCACATCACAAGTAGAACACTATAAAAAAGAAACAGGTAGCAAACAGTCCAACAGCATCACTTGAGCTTCACTTTAAACAGAACCAGCAAAAGGAGGGTTGAACACACATAGGCTAGTGTAGAAATACATTCAACTTAACTAAAAATAGAGAGGAACCAGGAGAAAGAGGATAGATCATAAGCAAAAGAAAACTAGAAGGCAGCAATTAAAACTTATTTGCTTCTGATTAGAAAACAGGCTGATTAGGGGAATTATATTTATAACACACAGAAGCAAATAAACCTAATATTAAAGCTGAAAAAGACCCCAGCTACTAGGTTAATGACAATTCAGCAAAAACTGAAAACTAGAAAGTAGTGTGGCAAATTAGTCTTAGACAAATACCTCACATCATACAGCAATGTTAGTTTCAAATGGACAAATGACTTAGAAAAGGCCACATGAACAAATTAGAAGTACAGGATAGAAATGTCTTCTCAGAGCTATCTGTGGATGACAAGAGGTTATAATTAAACAAGAAAGGAAGGATCACAGAACTAAATGGATAATTTTGGTTTTAAAAAAATATGTAGTCGCATAAATAAAATCAAAGCTAAAATCTGAAGCTAAGAGTTAAATGGGGAGAGGAGTGGAGAATAAATCTGTGCAAGAAGTTTCTCTGATAAAGTTCTGATTTCCAAGATATATTAGGAACTGATTTAGATGTATAAGATTAAAAGATATTCTTCAAGAGATGATCAAAAGGGCAGAGGTTCAATGGGAGAAATCCAAGCTATAAAAAAACCATATGGAAAAAATGCTTTAAATGACTAATAATTAGAGAAATGCAAATTGAAGCACTTCTCAGGTTCCATCTCACACCCAGCAGGAATATAAGAACTGCTCTAAAGCAATCTGTAACTGTGCCCATGAAAATCACTCAACTGCAATTCCTTTGAACTGGTTTTACCACCACTGTTAGGCCTTAACTCAGGTATTAAAGAAAAATGAAAGAACCAATAGGTATTAAATATTAATAGTAACTCTTTTTGTGGTGGCAAAGAACTGGAAACTATGGGGTTGCCCATCAATTAGGAGAAGGAATTGAACAAATTAAGGCACATGGATGTAATGGAATGTAACTGTCCAAGTAGCAAGTGACCAAAGGGATAGTTCAGAGAATCTGAGAAAACTTGTATGAACTGATGCAGAGTGAAGTGAACAGAACCAGGAGAGACTTAGGCACTCTAATCAGTGCAGTAGCCAAGCCTGATTCCTGAAGACTGATGACAATCTCTGCTACCCAACTGACAGAAAGGAGATGGATTTGAGATGCAGGATAAGATGCAATTCTTGGAAAGTCCTCTGCAAACCCTGGAGTGCCCAAGAAGAGGCCTATTGCTGTTACAGCTAGTTCCACCCCACACAGAGTTGGAAAGGAGCAGAGACTCCAGCCAATCCATCAGGCATTTAAGGGCCTACTCTGCGCCAGGCCCTGGGGACACGAGAGTGTAATGTTCCCTGCCCTCATGGAGCTTACCAAGAATCCGCTAAGTCCTCAGCCAGTCTCTGAAAAGCCTACCCCAATAAAAGGGAACCTGCTCCACTCTGGGCCTTCGCTTGCTCAGTTTTTTTTTTCTGACATCAAGCCTGAATTTTCTGCTTTGTAAATTCCTCCCATTTCTCAGTTTTTCCTCTCTAGGGCCAGACTGAGCAAGTCTGTCCATATGACAACTCTTCAAATAGTTGGAGTTTGGTTACTGTCTTCGGGTTTATTGTTTCTCAGTCATTTCGGTCGTGTCTAACTCTTCGTGACCCCATTTGGGGTTTTCTTGGTGAAGATACTGGAGTGGTTTGCCCTTTCCTTCCCCAGCTCATTATACAGATGAGGAAACTGAGGCAAACAGGGTCAAATACCCAGGGTCATACAGCTAGTAAGTGTCTAAAGCTGGATTTGATCTCAGGAAGATGAGTCTTCTGACTCCAGGCCCCAAGCTCTATCCACTGCGTCAGCTAGCTGACCTCAAGTGAGATAATATCTGTAAAGTGTTTAGCACAGTACCTGGCACACAGTAGGTGCTACATAAATGCTACTATCATCAATCAGTAAACATTTATTAGGCACCTGTTATGTGTCAGTGCCTCACATATAAGCAGTAGGGATACAAAAACAAAAAAGAAAGACAGCCCCTGCCCTCAAGGGGCTTTCAATCTAATGGGAAGAGACAAAAGGAAGCTGAAAAAGGGATGGCGGTCAATTCAAAGAAGTCCCAAAGTAGGGTGGCTAGGGGAGAAATGAGGAAATTGTATGACCTGGGCCCCTCCTCAAATGGAGGTCTGGAGTTCATGGCTCCATCGTCCCATCACAAGGACAGAAGGTGGAGATGAGGCGGAATACCAAGGCTGATGGGAGAAGCCCAGTGGAGTGTGGCCAGAGTGCGGCTCTGTCTGGCCCTATGAGAAATGGGAGGAATTTTAGCCTTCGGACTGGCATGGGGAAGAGGCCGTTAGGTTCTACCTGGTCCCAAAAGCAAATCTGGGATCCAATGAAAGGAGACTAATGTAAAGACAAGTTGCTAATGACTACAGCAGACTGCTCTGGGGGTACGGGGTGGGTCCTCAGCGCCACAAGGCCTTCGTGGGTGGGTCGGCTTGGGCATTCCCAAGCAGGAGGGATAGCGGACCGGAGGCTGTCATTTGTGAGACAAGCTGCGGGCTGGAAGGGCCCTCCAAGGCCATCGGTCTGCCCCAGACTTGAACATGAATCCCCCGTGCTGGGCTAGAGGTAGACATCTGGGGGTCGTAGAGCCTGACCAGCCAGTGAGTGTAGACTCCTCTTCTGGCAGTGAGGCCGGTGAAGCCTCTGGAGCCATTCTCAGAATCACGTCTTCCCTGGCCTCCTCTCCCCATCTTGACCCCTTGGGAACCGGACCCACTCAAAGCTGTCCTCTCCTCTAGAGTCCCCTTCCCCCCCCCCATTCACCTGCTGCTGACAATGGGCCCACTAGAATCTCAACCCTGCTCTTCTCTCCTCTGCCCCTGCCCCCACTGTGGTGCACACCCCAACAATTGCAATAGCTGGGGGGGGTGGGGGGGGTCTGCCTGCCTCATGTCTATCCCCACTCCAGTCGAGCCTAAAACTGACCATCCTAAAGCTAAGGTCCGACCCAACTTCCCCTCCCCCGCCCCCAGCGTCTGCAACCCAGGGAGCCATGCCTCCTGGGCTGTTCCTCAAACAAGACAGTCTGTCTGCAGACTCTACGCATTTGCACTGGCTGTGCCTCCAGCCAGGAATGCCCTCCCTCACCTCAAAGTCCCGGCTGAAATCCTACATCCCACAGGAAACCTTGCCTGTGATTATCCCCAATGTATTCCTGTCTATAGCATACTTGTACCGAGTTGTTTGCACGTCCAGAGCTGGAGCCTGCCACACAACAGGCGATTAATAAGTGCACGCCCATTTCACACTCGGGCAAAGCTGAGTCTCTTCACCCCCCAGTACCGTTTCCCTGTTGGCCCCTTCGTGGGATGGGGGGGCCGGGGCGGCAGCCCCAGGGATGGTTCCCACTTCTCAGAGCCCGCCCCGGAAGCCCTCCAACAAAGCAGCGCATTCTTCTAGGCTGTCCCGCCGCCGCCGCCGCCGCCGCCGCCGCCGCCGCACCCTCGAACCCTGCTCCACGCCGGCGGAGGGGCAGACGTGCTGGGTGGGGGGCGGGGCGCGCACGCAGGAAGAGCGCAGCGCGCTCCCCCCGCCTCCGTGGACGAGGCGGGCCTGGCCACGCCCCCCCACTCCTCGCCCCGCCCCCCCGGCCCTCAGGCTTTCGGGCCGGTGGTTCTGCGGGCTTCACGGCCACGCCCTTCCGCATTTCTCGCCTCATCATCCCGCCCCTCGCGCGCCCCGGGCCCCGCCCCTCTCCAGGGCGCGTGCGCACTGGGCGCCGCCCGGCCCGCGGGGTCACGTGGGGGGTGAGAAGGACTAGTCGCGCACGGCCTCCAGGGGCTTCCGGCTGCTTCGGCGGGACCTGAGCGAGGGAGGCTCAGGGACGGGGTTGGGGGGGCGGCGTCCGGGGGCGCGCGGAGTGAGTGCAGACCCCTCCTCATCGCGCCCCGTCTCGTCGTGCCCGCGCCCTGCGGCCCACCTGGGGCCAGGTGTGGAGGGCGGGGCCGCCAGATGTGGGCGGGGGAGGGTCCCCCAAGGGTCATTCGGTCCAGCCCCTGGCCTCTCACTGTCAGGGCCCCTGAGGCCCCGGGGCGAGGAGGGGGCGGCAGCAGCGGCTCCCTCCGGCTCTAGAGCCTCAGGCCCCCTAAGGTTCTCCCTGGGTTCTGGGGTTCCAGATTCTCGGGCCCCAGCCCAGACCGAAGGGCCCCGCGGGGAGCGGGTTCTGAGCCGGGGCCTCCCCGATTCTTTCCCCCCCAGGGACATCAGGAGGCAGCCGAGGCCGAGATGCCTGGACAGAGACCCAGGAAGGGCCCCCAGGCCCGAGGCCAGGGGGTGGCAGCGGCCAAGCAGGTACGGAGGAGGGCCGTCCCCCTCCCGGGAGGGCCCCGCCAGCCGGGAAAGCCGGCCCGGAGCCTCGTCCTTGGGATGGCCCTTGGAAGTCAGCGCCCCATTTTACAGAGGGGGAAACTGAGGCCCCCGGAGAGAGTCAGAGCTCAGGTTCTGGCCTCGCTGGGGTCCTGAGGGACCCCCGGAGGTGTACAGCCCCGCTTTCCCTTCCCTACCTTCTGCTAGTGGGGATGCTGGTTCCAGGCTCACAAAAAGGCCGGGAATCGAAGCAAAGCAAAGAAAAAGTGAGATTCCAATGAAAATCTTACTCCCTAAAGTGAATATCTGGGGCCCGGGGTGGGGGGCAGGGCCTGGCCTGAGCATCTGGCATAGCACAGGGAGTCCACGTCTGCCTTCGAATCTTGGCTTGTTGCTTTTGTGATCAGGAGTAAATCTCGTTTTCCTCCTCTAAAAGGCAGGGAACCCTGTTCCCCATGTAGGTGATTTCTACAGGGTATGATGGAAAAAAGGCTGGATTTGGAATCAGAGGCCCTGGGTTCAAATCTCAGCTCCTCTACTCCCATGCACCTGTCACACCCTCCCTGGGCTTCGCTTTCTTTATTGTGACATAAAGGTGTTGGTCTGAGAAGCTTGGGACCCCTGGAAATCCCCTGGTCCTCTGGGCTCTCCCTGGAGCCATAGCTGGCAGCTCTAGGCGGTAGCCACCAGACAAGTGGGCATCCCGTCAGCCTGGGCTGCCCTGAAAGGTTGTGAGCCCAACTTCTCAGTCTGGGAGAAGACCCCCAGGGCCTTTGGAGGTTACCAAGGCAAGGTGAATGGTGGGGAACAGAAGCATGGGACTCAGTGAGGCCAGGCGGCTTCCCTTCCTCCATCTTTTCGATCTCCCAGTAATGATGTCTGAGCCCCCTGCTGTGCACAGAGCACCCTGCTGCCTTAGCTGCTAGAGTGGAAGCTCCCTGAAGGCAGGCATTTTTCTTCATTAAGCTCCGGGCAGGGCTCCACATTCTGTGCTAAGGATACAAAGTCATGCCCCAGATCCTCTGAAAGGGGGGAAAGATAGGGCCAGGAATAGCTGACACAGCGGGGAATGAGGGGGGTGCTAAGGAGAAGTCCGGGAGGTTCGGTGAGCCCTGGAGTGCCCCAGCATCTGGTACCAGGTCTTGGATGTCACTGGAGGGACTTAGAAATATTTCTTGAATAGGACAAGTTCATTTTAAATTTGGAAGTGGAAGGAACCTTGCAGGCCATTAAGCCTTCATTTTACAGATGAAAAAACAGACCTGAAAAAGGAAGGAAGTAGAACAGAAACAAGCATTCATTAGGTGCCTACTGTATACCTGTTTGTTTTTATAATTTAAACTTTCACTTGGTGTGCCAGGAACTTTACAAATTTCATCTCATTTGATCCTCACAACAACCTGAAAGGTGGATACTATTATTAGCCACAGTTTATAATTTACAAAACAACAGTTTACAAACTGAGATAGCTGGTGAGCTGGAGAGGCTGCCTCCCTCCCTCCCCTGGAGCTCCCCCAGGCCCTGCTCTCAGACCCCATCTCCAGCCTCTAAGTGACCTACTCAAGGTCTTACAACTAGTAAATGTCTGAGATGGAATTTGAACCCAGGTCTGCCCAGGTTCAAGTCTAGCATTTTAGCCACTAGACTATGCTGAGATGCCAAGTTGAAGTGAGCAGGGACCCTGCCCCTGGGGCTCCTCATAGGGAGAGGAGACTCTAATACACAGGAGCACATCGGTGCTGCGTGATCCTGTGCTGTCTGAGGTCAGAGGTGGCATTTTGGTCAGCCTAAGGGGTGAGTGAAATTTAGCAGAGCAGGGGAAGTGCAGGACCTCTCTGGAGAGTGCTGAAGCCCAGTGTGGAGAGAGGAAGAGCATGAGCTGGGTCTGGCCGGGTGGGCTGGGGCCCTTTTGTGAAGACCCTGCAGTCCCAGGAGAAGACGTTTGGTGCTTTTGCCTGGAAAGGGACAGGGAGTCGCTGAGGGTGTTGGGAGTTAGACTGGGGAGTCACATCTGTGCATCCGGGTCATCAATTTAGAGCTGGAAGAGGCCTTGGAGGAGATCCTGGAGGCAGGGAGACCACTTAGGGCTCCTGCAGTCACCTGGTGGGAAGCTGCAGGGCCTCCCAGTGTGGTAAAGGGCCTGGCCACACACAGGATGTGTGTGATGAGTATGAGGAGCATTGAGGATAGCACCAAGCCTGACCTGACTGGGAGAATGAAGGCTTGTCTCTTGACTATAACAGGCGAATGTGGAAAAGCAGAGGCTCCTGAGAGAGGAGATGGTGAGCTCTGGGTTGGCCATGTCGAGTTTGAGCTGGGGTGTGGCACTGGAGCCCCCCCAACCGCCACCCCCCACCTCACCTTCTCCGGTGCTGCCTGCAAGGTGGCCCTTGGCCCAGGTTTCCCTTGAAGGTCCCTTCCAGTGTCCCTGGCTGGGAGGGGGGTTGGGAGCATCTGAGGACAGCAAGGCCTGGGGTCTGGACTCAGTTGCCACGTTGTTTGTGTCCTGGACCAGGTACGTAGGATTACAAAGAAAACTAGTTAAAACATGTGCTTATCAAAGTATTTGTGAAAAACAAGTTCACAGACCCTGGGTGAAGAGCCCTTGATTTAGAGGGAGAAAACGTGGCTTAGAATCTTGCCCCTGATCTTAACCACTTTTTTGATCCTGGGCAAGCCGTTTAAACTGGGCCTGTGTTCTTATATGTCAAATGATTGGGCTGGACTGAGAAGTCCTTGTGTCCTGGTAGTGGCTGGAGGGCTGGACTTGAAGTCAGAAGTCAGACAGATTAGGGATGAATCTAACTTCAGATCCTGGTCTGCTATGTGACCTTGGGCATGTAACAGCCTCTCTGAGCCTCAGTTTCCTCATTTGGAAAATTGGGATGATAATGTCACCTACCTCACAGGGCTGGCAAGCACTCAATAAATGCTTGTTGCAATGAGATCAATTTGTGAATCTTAAGTCCTCTAGCCCTCTGGCTTGGGCCCCTCCTCATCCTCCCCTCCTTTCCTCTTCTCCCACCCACAGCTGGGACTCTTTGTGGAGTTCAGTCCAGAAGACATGTTGCTGGAGGACCAGGATGGTGGGGAGGACGATGGAGACCTGGAGGCAGAGCTTCTAGCCCTCACTGGCGACACCAGAGCCCCAGAGAGCAAGGCCAGGCCCAAAGGGAAAGGTGAGCCAAGGGCTGGGGCCAAGGCTGGGGGGGCCAGGCTCGCAGGCCCAGCCCTGGAATGTGGCCTCTGAACCTCTCAGAAACCCCAGGCTGGGCCACAAAGCCTGGGCCCCAGGGAAGATGGGTTTGGGGAAAAGCCCAGTCTTGTGTGTTTCCGGTGCTCTGCCCACCACATGTGGAGGAGACGTGTGGTCCCCGGGGGCCACAACTGCCTTCCTGGAGCTCACCACCTAACACAGTGGCCCAGCCCTCTTGGTTACTAGGCATTTCTTCCCCTGCTGCTCATGGCTGTGCCCTCAGGGGCCAAGCCAAGTGGGACTGAGCCTCTTCCACCAGGCTGCCCTTCAGGTCCTGACTCCTCTCAGTCTTCTGAGCTCAAGTTCCTTCTGTGGCCTGGACTGGATACCCCTCCCCCCCCACTATTCACAATGGCCCTGTGGAAATCAGAGCTTGGGGCTTAGTTTCCCAATTTGTAAATGAGACCCAGATGAGTCGAGATCTTCTCTCTTCTGGACTCTGCAGCTTATCAACGTCCTTCCTAAACTGTGGGGCCCAGGACTGGTCTCGGGCCTAGCAGCTTCAGGCTGGTGGGACCTTTGAACTCATCATGTCCAGTCCCCTCCTTCGGTAGGTGAGGAAACTGAGTCAGGGCCAGAGAAGTAAAGCAGCTTGACCAAAGTCTCATAGCTAGGATGTACCTGGGGCTCGATGTGAACGCAGGTCTACTAGGCCACGTTGCCTCTGCAGTCTCCGTGACTCCACTAGGCTCCAGGGTGGAGGACAGTGAGATTGTTGCCTTCCTACTCACAGCGGCTGTTTCCTTTGTTATCACTACTGTTCTTTAGGGGCCAGGCCTTGGATCTCCTCCACATGGGCCATTCCCAGTGTGGACTCTTGGCCCCCCCAGTGCCTATGACCAGAGTCCTTGCGAGTTGACTGGGTCAGTGGTGGCTGGCTACTCATCTTTTGAGTAAGCCTGGGCCCCAGGGCTCTGTGCCCGAGGCCCTCTCCTTGGGCTGGTGTGGGATCAAGGCCCCTCCTGAAGAGGAGGCCAGACAGGGTTAGGGAGCTGCCCAGGAGCTGACACATGGATGGCCCTTGCTCTGTGGGACCCCCTCACCTGAGGACGGCCCCCAGACTGAGGGTGAGAAGTCCAGAGTTGGCAGAACTTGCCCGCTGTGCCCCTCCCCCACGTAGGCGGGGCCGCCCTGCAGGCTTCCTGTGTGGGGCCTGGCTAGGGGAGGCAGATGGAGTTGGTGGAGGGGGGGGGCCTGGGAGTGTCTCACTCTTGACTGAAGAGCCCTGGTGTGGGTGGGGCTCTCCTGGGCAGCTGCGGGGGGGGGGGGGGGGGGGCCCCCCGCCCCCCCCCCAGGGCCCCCCCCGCCGGGGGCGGGCCTTTCGGGCCGGGGGGGGGGGGGCGGGCTGGTCCTGGGTTCAGGTCCCAGGTTGCTGCTCAACTGCTGTGTGACCTTACTCAAGTCCCTTCTCCTCTCTGGGACTCAGTTTATCTTGAATGAAGGGTTTGGAGTGGATAATCCCCAAGGTCCCCTGGATCTCTATCATGGTCCAGTTCTGTCTGGCTCAGCCCTGAGGGACCTTCTCTGCACCCCCAGTGCCCCTGCCCATGGCCCACATCGAGAAGCTTGCTGCTGAATGCATGCAGGATGTGGGGGACGAGGCCTCGGATGAGGAAGATGAGGAGCTGGAGGCAGATACAGACCTGCTGGTATGTGACCAGGGAGGTGCAGGTAGGGCTAGGGGACCAGCTCTCTCCCAGCATACTCTACCTCCCCAGAGTGATCTGGGTCCAGTTGTTGGCCCTCTCTGGGCCTCAGTTTCCTCCTCTATAAAATGAGGGGGCCAAACACGATGACCGCCCAGGTCTAGTTCTCATGATTCTTAGGTGTGACTTTTCCCAGGGGTATTTGAGGTCCAGTGGAATCTGAGGCCTGGGGCAGGAAGGCGCCTCCCAGGCCACTGTCCAGGCCTCGCCTGACTGAGGGAAACAGGCCTAGGGAGGGGAAGTTCCCACCCAAGGTTTTCTGAAAGTAAATATCAGGTGATTTGAACCCAGGTCTTTCCTCAGGCTCCAGACCCCCCCCCCCCCCGTCCCTTCCCTAAGCCCCTGCTGCCCTTGTGGAGGGGGCTCACCTTTGGATGGGAGGCTGCTGGCGTGGCCTCCTGCCCCCATCCAAGGTCGGGGCTGCCTGTGTCCTGGGGCTTCCTTCCCCCCTTCTTGTTCCCTCAGGCGGAGCTGCAGGAGGTCCTGGGAGAGGAAGAGGAGGTTGGCGGACAAAGCGGCCCTGAGGAGGTGGCGACCTTGGCCCCCACGCAGCCTTCTGCCCCAGCAGCCCTCGAGGTGCCAGAGCCGGAGGCCGGGGGCTCTCCTTCCCAGGTAGACGGCCTCTGTGGCTCTGGGTGTGCCCGTGTGCAGGTGGACACGGTTGCTACCCGAACTCTGAACAGTTTCCACTTGCGGCGCTTGGTTCATTTTAATTCAGTCAGCAGCTGTCTCCTCAGTGCGGGCACACATGCTTGCCCTTGAGGAGCTTCCATTCCCCAGAGCAGTTATGAGACGTGCCCGGTCTCGGAGCAGAATGTGTCCAGAGGGAGAGATCACGAGCCAAGTATTGGGACCAGCAGCAAAGGCACCTCATGGGGGTCAGGAGGAGGAGCGTGTTCTATGCACAGCAGCGGGCAGGGGTGCCCAAGGGAAGTGATGGCAGGAGCCCCCAGTGCAGGAGGGGATGGGGAGACACAGAAGGTTTATCCTCTTGGCCCCTGAGCAGGGAGAGCCTCAGCTGGCTGTTGGGGTGGGAGCCAGGTCAGCAGAGAGGCTGCAGAGGGGCCCCGACGGGCCTTGGAGACGGGTTTGAGGGAGAGTGAAGAGTTGGGGGCGACACCTAGACTGTGAGCCTGAGGGGAGAATTAGGGACGGGATGCCTGGGAACGAAAGGGAACGGGTCATTTTGGACATGCGAGTTTGTGCTGCCCGTGGGATGGATGTCCAAAAGCCAGGTGGTGATGCGGGAGGGAGCTCCAGGCCTCGGGACCGTCTGCACAGAGATCGTCGTGGAAGCCATGAGAGCCAATGAGTGACCAAGAGAGGGAAGAGAAGGGGGCCCAGGCCAGAGCCCGGGAGACCCTGGGCAGGAAGGAGGAGAAGGGGGAGAAAGCTTCAGCAGGAAAGCCTGGGTGGGAGAGGAGGGTGACGAGCAGAGAGGTCCGGAGGGACGAGGATGGAGAGAAGGCCTTTGGATGAGAGGGCAGGGCAAGGCAGGGAGGTAGGGGCAGCATGGAAGGGGCTTTTTTAGGAGCCAGCTGCGAAAGGGAGGAGCGGTCTGGGCCGTTGGCCGGTGGAGACTTTGAGATCCATAAAGCCTTGGAGGATCAGGGAGGCTGTCTTCCCCCCCACCCCCCGGCCCTGGGTCCCTGGAGCGTGGGTTTTGGCGGGGTCTCTTCATACTCCTTCCTGTGCCCCCAGCATCAGTCCCCTAGGTCAGTATCATTGGGTGTGGGGGAGGTGGGGGGCACCGGCACTTTCTCCTGCCCTTGTGAGAGGCAGGCAGTGTGAAGAGCATGGCTTTAGGGGACAGACGCCCAGCTATGCGCACTCTGAGCAAGCACCGAGCTTTCTTGGTTTCGGTTTCCCCATCTGTACAGTGTGAGATCAGGGCTTGGTGTTAGCCATGGGGGTTAGTAAGTCCCCTCCCATCCTAGAGCCTCAGTTGCTCCATCCGTAAAAAGCTCCCGGTCTCTTGGCCCAGCCTCATCCAGCTCTCAGTTGATCCTTGTGCCCTGCAGGGGGTGCCCACAGCAGGAGGGTTGCAGGGGCTGCTGGAGGAGCGCATTGCCAACTACCAGGCTGCGGCTGCCAGCGCCAAGGAGGCTGGGGACGGGGCCAAAGCCCGGCGGTGTGAGCGAGGCCTGAAGGTGAGAAGTGGGGAGTGTGAGGCCTGTGGGGAGGAGGGTGGCTGGCCACAGCTGACCAGAGTCTCTAGGGGAAGGCTTCCTGGTCTGTTTCAGGGGAGATTAGGGGACCCCTGGGGTGTCCTCAGCATGGGTTCTCCTCCTCCAGACCCTGCAGACCCAGCTGACAGCTGTGAGAAAGGGCAAGAAAATCAGCGAGGAAGAGATCCCACCCCCTGTGGCTTGTGGGAAGAGGCCAGAGCTGCCCCCAGCGGCAGAAAGTGAAGGCTGTGGGGAACTCCCGGCTTCTCCAGGCCCTCCAGCTACCTCAGACTTCCCAGCTACACCGGGCCCTTCAGCTACCCCAGACCCCCCAACTACCCCAGCACCCCTGGAAGCAGCTGCCCCTGAGCCAGGTATGTGAAAGGCCAACCAGTGCCCCCTCACCCCCTTCTGTCCGGGAGCCCCTAGCTGCCCCAGACCTCTGGAGCAAGGTTTCCAGGGGCCCGGTCAGTGCCCTGCCTTTCTCCCTCAACACCCAAATGTGGGAGTGAGGGCATCCCTCTTGTTACAGAATAATTTGGAGATACCAAGCTCCTTCCCAGGGTCCAGGAGGATTGGGAGGGACAGCGGCCCCTGGCCCGGCCTGGCCCTGGTTCCTCAGCTGCTTTTTCCCCTGGCCAGACTCTCGGCTGCTGTTGCTGACCCGGCAGAAAGAATACAAAGAGGCCGCCTTGAAAGCCAAGCAGGAGGGCGACCTGGAGTGGGCCCGAGAGTGCATGAGGATTGGCAAGGTGTGGCCCGGGCCTGGCCACTCCCGGGGGGACCCCCTCGAGCTGGGGACACGAGGGCTTTGGCCGTGGTCTCTGACTCCTTGTCCAGTCACCTCATTGTACTGAGGAGGAAACTGAAGCTCGGAGAAACTGAGGCTCGAGATGAGCGGGTTGATGATGGGTCAGGCCCTCTGGGTGGCAGCGGTATAAGAGGCCACCATGGGAATAGGGCAGTGGAATCCGATTCCCCAGGGTGAGGCCTTCACCTGGCTCTTCTCTCAGAGGTTTGGTGCCGTGCTGGAGGCAATGGACAGTGGGCAGCCTGTGGACCTGAGTGGCATGCCTCCTCCCCCTTCAGGTGAGCGGGGAGGATCAAAGCTGGGCACGGCCTGTGCCCCCACTCCCTCCCCTGGGCTCACACCTGGAGCTGGGCTTCCTCGTGCCCCTTTGAGCCTCAGCGCAGCCTGGGGACTGGGGAGGGAAGCAGGACGGTGTTTTGTCCCAGTTATGCAGAGAACACTCTCTTTATGCGCGCGTGCTTTATCCCCCACCTTCTCCTCTTCCTCTTCTTTCCTTCACTCAGCAAATGTTGATCACATGGTTGTTACGTGAAAGGCCCAGTGGACAAAGACAGAAAGAGAGAGAGCTGGCAGAATGAAGAGGGGGAGGGGAGGATGCGGGTCCTCAGAGACGGGGCTGCTCCTGCCCTGGTCCTCTCCAAGCCTCAGTCAGGGACTGCAGCTCAGCAGACGGCCTGCTGCCGTGGGACGTGCTTGGCTCTCTATCATTCTCTCCTCAGAGCTCAAGGCTGCACAGAAGGCCCTGCCTGCCCCAAGCCCTGGCCCCCTGGAGCATTCAAAGCCTGTGACGTCAGCCCCTTCCCAGGCTCCAGGTAAACACTGAACAGGGAGAGGCTTGGGCGGGCCCCAGCCAGCCCTGGCCTGGCCCCTGCTGAACTATTTGGGATGGGGACCACACACCCCCCAGGGTGGGTGGGAGCAGGGTTGGGGTCAGGGAGGGGAAATAGCTGACGGCCTCTTTGGGCCCAGTGGCCTCTCCCCAGCCCCAGACGGTTCTAGAGGCCTTGGGCCAGAGGCTAAGCAAGTACCAAGAAGCTGCCACCCAGGCCAAAAGCAGCGGAGATGAGCGGAAGGCCCGCATGCACGCACGCATTGCCAAGGTGACCTTGTGTTTTAGAGCATGGGGAGGGGGATGGGCAAGCTCTGGACCTGGCTCTGCAGCCAGGCTGGACGAGGAACCGCTCAAGGACCCATTCACAGAACCAGAGTGACAGAGCCGGGAGGTACCCCTGCAGCTGAGGGAGAAGGGGAACAGGACTTGCCCAGGGTCACACAGCAAGTCAGTGGTAGGGCTGGGGATAAAATCCTGGTATCCTGCTTCAGCCCAGGTGACTGCTACCACCTCCTCCATCTGCCTCCTTACCCTGGAGCTCCAGAGTGGGAGGGCCAGGGGCCTTGTGGCCTTAGTTTCCTCTGTCACCCTCCCCCAATTCCCTTCTTTCCCTGTGCCCTGGAGAGGGGGCAGAATGTGCCTCAGTTTCCTCCTCTATCAAAGGAGAGGTTGGACTAGATGCTCTTCAGCTCTGCAGCCCCCGGTCCCTCTTTGTGCCAGCTTGGCATTTTGGGCAGGGGAGGGGCATTGGCTCATCTCACCCTTGACCCTTCCTCCCTCCCGGCCTTAATTCTAGCAATACCAGGAGGCCATCCGAGCTCACAAAGCTGGGCGGAAAGTGAACTTGGCAGAACTTCCTGTCCCCCCAGGTGGGTCAGAAGCTGGGGCCCCTTGGGGATGGGAAACGGGATAGGAGCATGTGGGGGCTCCTTGAGGCCTTAGTCAAGGCTGGAGGAGAGGAATGAAGGGGGAAGCCTCTCACTCCTGGAAGGACCTACATTGGTGGGGGGACCTCCAGCTCAGAGCCTCGCCCTTCAGGCCTCTCCTACCTCTCCCCTCCAGGATTCCCTCCTATCCCGGGCTTGGAGCCCCCCACAGGCCCTGAGGACAACCCGTTGGCTGCAGCCTTGAAGGCGGCTCAGCTTCTGGGTGGCCACGAGGAGAACAAAGATGAGGATGAGGATGAGGTATGGAGGCCCGTGGGCAGAAGGTGCCCTCACTCTGGAGCCTGACCACTTGGGTTTCAATTTGAACTTAACTCTGCTGCTCACTACCTTGGTCGCCTTGGGTTACCAAGTCTCTTATCCTTCCTGAGCCTCAGTTTCCCATTCTGTAAAGGGGTGATAGTGAAGACAGTGATATATTGGAAGCAGAGCCTTGGATTTGGAGTTAAAAGAGATTTGAGTTTGTTTGACCACCCCCCCCCCACCCCCGACCTTGGAGAAGTCACTAGGGGACCTCAGCGGCCCCCTGCGGATTTGGATCTGCTCTTGTGATCATCCCCTCCCACCTCCTTAGGAAGAGTCCCTGCCCCAGGCTCCAGTGGCCAAGAAGCCAGCTCAGCGGCCTAGCCAAGCTCCCCAGGTAGCCAGGCCCTCGGCTGTGCCATCCCCTGAGCTCAAGGGCTCTACCTCCCAGGAGGCCTTGTCCGCAGCAGGTAAGCCTGTCCAGGGAATGGGGGGAAGCCCTTGACCCTGGCAAGGGAGAAGAGGACCCAGGGCCCCTGGGGAGGGTAAGGAAAGACTCTGGGGGCCCCCACTGGGGTCTCAGAGCTCCCAGGCCAGGCCAGCAGGGGCTCTTGTCCACTCAGCCCAGGAACAGCTGGCCTTGCTGGAGGGCCGCAGACTCCAGTGCCAGCGAGCTGCCCTGCAAGCCAAACGGGCCAAAGACCTGGAGCAGGCCAAAGCCCACCTCCGGGCAGCGAAGGCCCTGGATGCGCAGATAGCCCTGGTGCGCGGCAGCGGCCGTGTGGGCAGCAGCGGGACCAAGGTGTGCCTGGGGGCCGGGTGGGGGGCTGGAGGGTGTCCACACCAGTTAGAGGTTTCTGAAGTGCTTGTGGGGAAAGAGACCATCTTCTGGGTACTAAAAATGGCCATGCCCTGCCTTCAAGGAGCTTCTGTTCTGTGAACTGTAGATAGTGGGGGGTCGGGCTTGTTGACTTCTGGGAGGCTTCCCGAGCTCCTTTCTGTGTTGGGGATGGGGCAGGTATCTTCCCCTCTGACCGACGAGGACGGCGGCTTCGTTCTCATTCGCCCCGAGGACGTGGGGCTCTCCCAGAAGGCCGAGGAGGTGTACGTTCAACTGCACAAGATGCTGCAGGAGCAGCAGGAGGTCAGGACCTCTCCTGGGGCTCCTTTCCAGAGGAGCTATACCTTCTCGGGCTGGCCTCGGGGGGAGGGGGGGCAGAACGAGAAGAAACGTGGGGAAAAATAACTGGGGGGCAGATAGCGGCTCAGTCAGGGCAGACTTCCCACTATGAGAGCCCCGAGGCTGGGCTTCCTGCCCCGAGGCATCTACCACTGTGCTTTGCTTCCCTTCCCAGAAGTGCCTGCTGTACTCCAAGCAATTCATGCACCAGGGCAACGTGGCAGAAACCACGCGGTGAGTGATCCAGCATCAGCTGTTGGGATGTGGGCTGGGGCCACAGGGCCTCGTTCAGATGTGGGCAGCGCTGGCCTGGCAGCCTTTACCAGATGTCTAAGAGCCCTTCTGTCTCTAATGCTCTGGCAGGGCCTTGGTGCTGAAGGGAAAACAGGGAGGAAGGGTAGGGCAGGGGCGAGGAGGGAGGCCCTCAAGTGGTGGCGGAGGGGGCCTAGGCCCCTTTGGGATACTGTAGAAAGGTCACCTGAAGGTGGGGGTGCTCAGCCAGGACCTGATGGAGGTCTGCAGGCATCTCCTCGAAGGGCTGCTGGGGGAATGACGGAAGTCAGCCTTGCTCTGCTTGGCCATGGGGAGCATAGCAGGAGCCATGAGGAAGCCAGCACAGAGCCCATTGGGGCTAACCAACCAAATGGGGCTAATCACCTCATGCTGAGAGGTGTCCCTGAGTAGGGGAGGCTGTCCCCAAAGGTGGTGAGCTTCCCTTCTGTGGAGGGAGGGCTGCAAGAAGGGCTGGCCATCACCTCACTGGGGAGGCTGCCTGTGCCCAGCCGGCCTCTGGGGTCCCTTCTGACTCCAGCCTACCCGTCCCTGACAGGTTTGAGAAGCTGGCCGAGGACCGTAAGAAACAGCTGGAGATGCTGCAGCTGGCGCAGGCACAAGGCCTGGACCCTCCCAGCCACCACTTCGAGGAGAAGACCTTCCAGACCGTGAGGTGTGTGTTTTGGGGGAGGGCAGGAGAACAAAGCCCAGGCAGTGGGCCTAGAGCAGCCTCGGCACCTCGCCATCTCCGTCTGCCTTGTCTCCCCCAAGGATCTTCTCAGAGCTCAACAGCACCGAGATGCATCTTCTCGTCGTGAGGGGCATGAATCTCCCAGCCCCGCCAGGTGCTCTTGGGCTCCCTTTAGGGGGTGGGGCTCGGGGCCCTTGGGGCTACCCGGCCTTCTGCTGGGAGTGCTGGCCAAGTGCTGAAGCCCTGCCCCTGTATCCCCTGCACAGGTGTGACTCCCGATGACCTAGACGCGTTTGTTCGATTTGAGTTCCACTATCCCAGCTCGGTGAGCAACGCCCTGCCTCGTGTCTCCTGCCCTCACCCCCAGACCCTCTGGGGTCCTAAAGGGCAGGGAGACAAAGAAATGGCCGCTGCCAATTCTCTGGCTTCCTAGGTTACCTTGGACCAGTCACTTCCCTTCCTTTGGTCTCAGTTTCCTCATCTGTACCATGAGGGCAGTGGCCTCGATGCCAAAAGTCTCTAACTAACTAAAGTCTCAGCTCTAACATTCTGAGGTCATCCCGTCCCTTCCCCAACCTCCTCTGCCAGTGCCACTCATGCCCAGCCCTTGTCCTGACCCAGAGCTCCCACCTCTCTTGACTGCCCTGGCCACCCTCTTCTGTCCATGTGTCCCCAGGACCAGGCCCAGAAAAGCAAGACGTCCGTGGTGAAGAACACCAACTCCCCAGGTGGGAGCCCAGAGCCACCCTGTCCCTGAGGCCAAGAGATGCTGGGCACCCATGGGAGAGGGGAAGGGGAGGCCTGAGGCCTGGCCCCCAGGGTGGCCGCCTCTGGGCAGCTGCTGGGAATTGGGGGATTAGGGGCGGAGGCCCACGGGTTCAGGTTTTGGCTCTGCCCCTCAGTCTCGCCCTGTCGCCTTGCACGAGGCTGCTCGGGTGTAGAACAAGGCGATGAGGCTGGACAGCTGCCAGGCCTCTCTGGCTCTAGGGCCCCCCTGCTCCCCTCTCTCATGCCCCCCCCCCCTCCCAGCAGAGTTTGACCAGCTCTTCAAACTGAACATCAATCGGCACCACCGGGGCTTCCGCAGGCTGGTCCAGAATAAGGGGATCAAGTTTGAGATTTTTCACAAGGGGTGAGGTCTGGCCTCCATAAAAGTGGGGGGCAGGGGGGTGGGAGTGGTAGACTCCAGGCCTAGCCAGATGGAGAGCGGGGATCCCCACTGCAGTGTCTTTCACAAATGAGCGTCCAGCTTTTGCTTGAATTCCCCTGGAGATGGACAGCTCCTTACCTTACATGGCAGATCTGTAGGATCTGCTTGTTACAAAATTCTTCCTCAGGTTGACCTGATTGCTGTCCAAAGCAGGGCCTGGCCCTGAGCCCTCTCCCTTCCTGTTGGGCCTGGGGATCTGTGACTGGCCATTCTCATGCACCTCCCCACTCTCACCCCATGAGACGGGACTGAGCTCACCCACCCTTTCCACCCCCATCCACAGATCCTTCTTCAGAAGCGATAAGCAGGTTGGGACGGCCCATCTGAAGCTTGAGCGGCTGGAGACCGAGTGTGAAATCAGGGAGATCCTGGAGGTAGGGGGGCTGGGGCTTTGTCTCTGGAGCCTTAGGCCTGGCTGGCGGGGCGAGACCCTCCTGAGGCCCAGTGACTTGAATGGCTCAGTCTCTTCTCCATGTTTGGCCCCTTTCACAGGTCTTAGATGGCAGGAAGCCAACTGGGGGCAAACTGGAGGTGAAGGTAAGGCTCCGGGAGCCTCTGAGTGGACAGGATATACAGATGGTCACAGAGAACTGGCTGGTCCTAGAGCCCAGGGGCATCTGAGGTGAGCAGTTGTTCCACATTGACAGCTGGGGTGGGGGGTGGGGAGCCTGATGTGTAACCCCTCCCCCCTTCCCCCAGTGCTGCTGCCCTGGGAGGGGTCCCTGAAGTTGGGTGAGGCCTCTGGGGGTTGAGCCCTGGCAAGAAATTCCCAAGACCTCCTCACCCTGACGGCCTGTCCTTGGGGTCTAGACCCCAGGATGAGGGGGAGCAAATAGCTTGTAGAGCTGGGAGGAATCTGGGATCTCTCCAAGGTCATCCAGAGTAGAAGGTGGCACCGAATTAGCTAGAGTCACACAGCCCAAAGTAGCAGAGCCCTGCCTCAGCCCTCCACATTCTGCTGGGCTTTGATCTGGTTAGCCCTCCCAGGGCGTGGATGCAAGTTGCAGGGTGGTGACTCTTCCAGCAGCGGTTGGGTCCAAGGAATTGCTTTCCAATTCAGAGCCTGTGCTGTGCACACCTAAGTAGGACCTTAGATCGTTTGTGGGAACTGAGTGCTGGGGTCACTCAGCTGAAAAGGTTCTTGAGGCAGACTGGAGACTGTCTCCCCCACTTTAGTGCAGCACCTCCATCCGCTGGGCCGCAGAGCCCTGTCTGGGTTGTGTTGAACACAGTGGGGCGCTTTGTCCAGGCTTCTGTGCAAAGAGAGATGCCCAAAGCAGGGCATCCCTGGGCCTCCCTATGTGGAAGGTGGGAATCGGAGGACCTGCATCTGAATTCTGCCTCATATTGGTAGCCATGACCTTAGCTAAGCGCCTTCTGTCTCCATTTCCAGCTCTGGTCTCTTAACAGCCGTGATGTGATGTGTCTTTAGCATTTCCCCTCCATTCTTCCTTGACCCTTGTGATGCCCCTGGGAGGTGGGTGCTGTTATTAGGCCTTTTTTCAGAAGAGGAGACTGAGGCTGAGGGCCATGAGGGGATCCCTTCTAGAAGCCTCCTCCATTAGGGCACAGGGTAGAGAGAGTCAACCCCAGGCCTACTGCTTGCTTCCAGCTCTGCCCCAGACCAGAAGCTTTGGACATAAAGAAGACGCTGCTACCCCGAGCACCAAAGACCTGTTAAGCAAATGCACTACTGACCATGCTACACGCCCCCATGTGCTGGAGAGCTGCCACCTTGCTGTGGGGCATCAGCCACGTGAGTGGTGGTGGGCAGCAACCCCTCTGCCTTCAGCACTTGGAGTCGAGCCCTGCCGGCCTCCCCAGCCCATCTCTGTCGATAGGCTCAGGCTCCCTGCCGCCCTTCTGCTGACCTCGTCCGGGCTGGGCTGTGCTCCTTGGCCCTCGGCTCTTCTGACCCACATGCTAGCGGAAGACAAAGGGAAGGCCTGGTCAGCTCAGGGCCCCGGAAAGGCTGGGCCCCAGTCCAGCCCCTGCTTGCTCCTCGGCCCCTCTCTCTGGATGTGCCTTTAAGACAGACATGACTGGAAGGTTGGGGAGGTGAGCGGGACCTCGGGCCTCCCTCTGGGGAGCGGCTGCGCATCTTGCCCGGCCCCTGCTCTGCTCCTCCGCCTGGGTTCTGTGCCTTCTTTTCGGACAGTAACTTGCACTAGCTTCCTACTTCCCAAAATGTTGAGAGGAGGAAAAAGCGGCCTTGGGTACCACGTTGGGGGAGGGGAGGGATGCTGTGTTCCCCAGATCTGCCCCCCCTCCCCCAAGACTAAAAGATAGTTAACTTGGAAACAGAAGTCAGCTGTGTTTGTGTATCTTTGTGCCTGTACTAGCCCTCAGAGGCGTGGGCGCCCAGCCTCTCCTTGAAGATGAGGTGGGGGGTGCACACCACCGCCCAAGACAGCCTGTCCCATTCTGGGAGCTCTGATCTTTATAATAGTTTGTGTCCACCTCCAACCTCTGTTGGCCCCTTGGCAGCTTCCCCCTCCATTGTTCCTGGTCCTGCCCCGTGGGCCAGGCAGAACCAAGGCTAGGTTTGAGTACCAGGGCTTGAGAGAAAGCAAACTCATCAGAGGAGGGAAACTGAGGTAGGGCCCTTGGATCTCTGTAAAGCTTCTCTCTTGCCAAGTGTGAAGAGTCCAGAGGCATTTGCCAAGTGGACCATTTACTGGGCAAAGCTTTACGTTAGAAAGAAAGGTGTAGCGCCCCCTTCTAACTTTCTCCAGCAGTAAACTCTCCCATGGCCAATTTCCTTCCTTGCAGATCCAGGGAGCAGGAAGGATCTTTTGTTTCTGGTTCTTACCCAAGATGGTGGCACTGGGGGAACCTACTGTACAGAGTGGGCTGGGGCTAGGAGGCCCATAGAGATGAGTGCATCTCCATTCATTGGAGGGGGAGGGGAGAAGAGTCTTATCCTTACAGCAGTTCTTCCTATGGTGGCCAAGAACTGGAAAGTGAGGGGATGCCCCTCAGTGGGGAATGGCTGAACAAGTTGTGGTATATGAATGTAATGGAATACTATTGTGCCATAAGAAATGACGAGCAAGCAGACTTAAAGAAAACCTGGAATGACTTGTACGGTCTGATGCTGACTGAAGTGAGCAGAACCAAGAGAACGCTGTACACGATAACAGCCACGTTGTGCGATGACTAATATTGATAAACTTAACCCTTCTCAGCAAGGCAAGGATCAAAGACATCTCCAAGGGCCTTGCGACAGAGCGAGCTGCAGAGTCTGGATGCAGATCGAAGCCTATTTGCTCTCTCTCTTTTTGGTTTCTTCTTTCTCGTGGTGTCTTCCATTGGCTCTAATTCTTTACAACACGACTGATATGGAAATGGGGTGGGGGGTTCATCCACACTTTGGGGGGATAGAGGGCACCTGGCCACAGTCACACAGCCAGGGCCTGGGAGACTGGAATTGGGAGCCCGGTGGGATCCCGGGGCTCTGGGATGTACTTGTCAGAAGGAATCTACAGCCAGGCAGGCCAGCCCATGTCCCCGAAGGAATCTTCCCTCCAGCTTTCCTGACGAGGCAGAGTGGTGTGGACCAGTGCTGGGAAGAGGCTTGCGTCGGGTGGTACCTGCATGACCTGGGTGCTTGCCCACCGCACCTCTCGGGGCTTCAGTTTGCTCATCTGTAAAATGATGGGGTTGGACTTGACCTCTAAGGTCCCTTCCAGGGTCATTCCTAGGTGACCATCCAGCCTCTGCTTGGAGGCTCAGCACTGAGCTGTGACTCCACTAACAAGTTCTTTCTGAAATTGAGCCCAAAGTGTCCTCTCTTGCTGCTCTCGCTGTGGGCTGCCTCCCTAGGTGAGGGTCAGCCGGCGCCCCCACTCCTACAGAATGCCTGGCTCTGCGGGCTGGGCTGGCCAAGGGCGGGGTGCAGGAAGGCATGGACCGCAGAATCCAGACAGCTTTGGGTCTTCACTCACTTGCATGACCTTGGGCAAGTTACTGAACTTCTGTAGAACAATTCACCTCCCGTGACCCACCACAAGAGCCAGTCTCGTGAGTGGAAGTGGCATACATTCAATGCCAACAGTCTGCAGGTCTGACCCTGCTCAGCTAGCCATGTCTGCTTAGGAGGACATGGCCTCCCGACTTGGCAATACCCAACCCTTTTCTCTTCCTTTCCTCAGCATTAAGTTAAGGTTTGAGGAGGCATCCATCGGCAACCCAAATACAACTGAGCATAATACCCTTTTCAGGGCCCTTTAAAGGTTGGGGGTGTTTCATGTGTGGCTTCACATGAACCCTGTAATAACCTCAGTTGGGTATGATAGGTTATGCTGTGCCCATTTCACAGATGGGGAAATAGGCTCACAGGTGAAGTGACTAGGCCAGGCCCACCCCACTAGTGTCAGAGAACTTGGGGTCCAGCACTCTAGTCCTCATACCATGCTGCAGCACTTTGAGAATTTGTGGTACCCCAAGTCCAAAGAACACTGGGCTAGGAGAAAGGAGACATGGCTTAAAGTGGTAGCTCAGCAATCCAGGTGTATAACCTTAGACAAGGCCCTTCTAGTCTCTGGGCCTCTGTTTCTCCATCTGAAAAATGAGGAGTTTGGTCCCAATGGTTTCTAAGGCCCTCTTTGGTCTCTGCTGTGCTGTTATTTTCTTTTAGCAGGCACAGAGAGGGGCATTCAAATTAAGCCCTCAGTAAAGGCCTGCTTCAATAAGGCTTTGTTTGGCCCCTGAGAATTCCCCATGGCTGCTGCCCACTCAGCTCCAGTTGGCTTCATGCTCGTGGGTTTCAGGAAAAATTGGGCCTCTATGCAACGCTGGGTCACAAACTTGTCTTAAAGGCTTTTGTTGGAGTTGGACATTGGGAGGGGTTCTGCTTCCCTGGGCTCTGGGAAAAGGCCCTCAACCAGGCCTGGGTAACCCCAAGTTGGGATCCTGAGAATCCCAGAAGAGAGCTAGTCCACGGAGGCATTATCTACGGCACTGAACCATCCATGTGGGGAAGAAATGCTGGGTTTGGAGCCAGGACGTAGGCTTGAATCTTGACTAGGCCACTTAATACGAATTGTGTGAATTGGGCAAATCCCCTCCCCTCCCTAGGCTTATTTCTTTTGTGAAGATGTTCTAATCTAATCTAACCCTTCTAGTTCTAAAGCTCCAATACAATCTCTGGTTGGTTTTCCATAATAGGGTGCTCACTACCTCCCAAGGCAGTCCATTCTATTGTTCTTAGCTTGAGCTAACATAAATCCATTTCACAAAGTTCTTGGGTGGAGCGAAGAGCCTAACTGCCCACTGGAACCCAGTACTCCTCTCCTATTCTGATCACCATCTTTTGGCTTTCCACCTCTCCCTCTGCCATCCACACCGTGACCTCCAATCCTTTCACCCCTCAACTCTCCCAGACCATCTCCCCTGCACTAGTCACTCTCTCTTCTCCCCATCTTGACCCCCTGTTCAATCAGTTCAATTCCACACTGTCCTGTTCTCTTGAGTCCCCAGCCCCTTGTGCCCTTCCATGCCTCTGCCTTGGACCACCCCCACCATTTGTCACCTTCACTCCTATACACCTGCTGCTGAATGAAGATGAAAAAGAAGAAAATGACACACCTGTTCTCACTGGGCTCACTAAGAATTCATGTTAAGCAACCTCAACTGGGCCCTCCATGATGCTCAGCATTCCTACTATTCTTCCCTTATCAACTCACTCCCATTCTCTCCAGATGGGTCTTCCAGACCTCATTCCTCCTCTAACCTGCCATTATTCCTCCTCCCCCCACTCAGCTGAGAACCTTGCCTCACATTTTACAGAAAAAAATAGGGGCTACTCAACACGAGCTCCTTTTCCTCATTTCAGATTCCTTCTGTCACTCTCTTTCAAGCCTGGCTCACACAAAGGTGGCCCTATCTCCCCTCTACCTACACAAGCAATCCATTTCAACTCTCTCTCCTTCAGCAGATTGCCCTCACTGCCATCCTGCTGTCTCACTCATCTTCAGCCTCTCCCTGTCCACTGGCTACTTCCCTACCGCCTCCCAACAAGTCTCCCTCCTCTTCAAAACCCCTCCCTTGACCTATTCCCACTACTGTCCTCCATCTAGCTCTTCCGCTCTTTGCAAAGGCCGTCTATAATAGATCTATAATATAAAGCTGCTTTTTTCATCCTCGTGTAAAAAGTGCCCACTTCCTCTTGGAATTGTGATGGAGGTGGAGAGGAAAGACTCCCAGCCTCCCTAGACTTTGAGAGAGTCTATTTTAAATCGTTCAATGGAAGGGTGGGTAGGCTCTCATGGACTAAAAGTTCTACAAAGGAAGCCAGTTCCTGAACCATGGGAAACTTCAGAATGGAATTCTGGAGGCAAAATGAGGAGCAATTCTGATGAGGAGGGAAAAGGGGAGTTGTCTGAAGAGACTAATTCAGATGCAAGGGGAACTCGATAATTAACTGATAAAGACCAAGGTGGAAGTAACAGGAAGTTAACAGGAATGAGAACACTCAGACTCGGGGCTGCCACACAAAACTCAGAACCAAGAGAGGGTTTATCCTCTGGGAAAGAGATCTGAAGAGCAAGGCTCATTTTTCAGAGTGGACGGAATGATAACTGACTACAAAGGGAGAGCCGCTGAATTTTTATCATGCTTGTCTTCTCTGCTGAGAATGATCACTGGACTAGAAAAGATGGGGAAAAAAAGAGCAATGATCGGTTGATAACCATAGTAAGGAAAGTGGTAAGAATCACTCAGCTGCTCTTGACGAACTTCTCTCGTTGCCCAGCTGGTTACATCCTAGGCGACTGAAAGAATCAACAGATGTGACTGATGAACCCTTCTCTGTGGAAACCAGGAGAGGCACCCCAGGATTAGATAGACATTTATTAAGCATTTACTCTGCGCTAAGCAATGGGGATACAAATACAAGCCAAAAAGTCCCTACCCTCAAGGAGTTTACATTCTAATGAGCTCAATACAACACACTGAGGGGCTGGAAAAGGGAAGGCGGCAAATATGAAATCTGCAGAGTGAGGAGTGGAGCCTGGAGTGACACAGAAGACAAATACCCCAACTTAAGAAAGGGAAGAGAATGGGGGCTGGAAATTATACATTGCTTCAAAAACCAGAATGTCTCATTCAAGGGAGAGTTGGTTAGAGAACATCTGGAAAAGGGAGTGATAACCACAATGAGCTCAGATGGTTTTGCATCAAGAACAGATTGTGTTGAAAAGATAGGCACACTAATACATTACTGATGGAGCAGTGAAATGGTACAACCATTTTGGGAAGCAAATTAAGTGACTAAAATGTCCATACCCTCTAAATCAGAGATTCCATTACTGGGCTTATATCCTAAGGAAGCCATTGATAAGAAAAAAAGTCTCTATATATTCCCAAATATTTATAGCATTACTTTAGGTGATAGCTAAGAAGTGGAAACAAAGTAGATGCCCATCCATTTGGGAATGGTTAAACAAATTGTAGTACATGAATATAACGGGGCTGTAAGAAATGATGTGGATGAATACAAAGTAGCATGGAAAGAGCTACATGAACTGATGCAAAGTGAAGTAAACAGAGCCAAGAAAAAATACGCTCAGTAATTACAATGATATAAATGGAACAATGACACATCAAAAAATCAAAAGTAAATGCAACAAAATTATAAAGTTAAAACGGGACCCAAAAATGAAGATGAGAAGACATCCTCAACTTTCCCCTTTATGGAGGTGGGAGACCCACAGGTGTTACACATTGCTTATATTTTCAGACTTGTTCAATGAAGCTATCAGTTGTGGTGATTTTTTTTCCCTCTCTAAAAATACTACTTGTCCTATGTGATAGATCTTCTGGGAGGGGAAGAGGAAGGGATACATGGAATATAATGGTGATATAAGAAACAAAACAAAAAAAAAAAATAAAAAAATTAAAAGAAAATAGAATGGATTGTGCCAGGCCAACTTCTTTTCCCTTCTTTGGAAAAGGGACCCCCAGGGGAAGCTGTAGCTAGGGTCCACCTAGATTTTAACAATGCCTTTAACAGAATCTCCAATGATAATGCAATCAGGCAGCTGGCTGAACAAGTCATCAGCAATGGTGTGATCTCAATTTGGACGAGTGACACAGGGATCTGTGCTTGGCCCTGTGCCGGTTTAACATTTTCATCAATAGAAATATGGAATTAAGGCATAAAAAGCATGCTCTCCCAATTAGGGAATGACACAAAACAGAGAGTCCAGGCTAAGACACTGGATGAGAGCATTCAAAAAGATTGCAAAAGAACCTAGAGCATGAGGTGGAGCTGATTAAGGGAAAATCGATAAGGATAAATGTAGTCTTATTATGTGAGTTCAAAAAACCTCCACGAGGGGCAGCTAGATGGCAGAGTGGATAGAGCACTGGCCCTGGAGTCAGGAGGACCTGAGTTCAAATCCGGCTTCAGACACTTGACACTTACTAGCTGTGTGACCCTAGGCAAGTCATTTAACCTCATGCCTAGTGAAGAAAAAAAAAAAGAAAATAGTTAACCTAGAAACTACAATATAGTGAATAAAGCACCGGCCCTGGAGTTCAAATCCCGCCTCAGATATTTGATACTTAATGGATGTGTGACCCTGGGCAAGTCACTTAACCCCACTGCCTAGCCAAAAACAAACAAACCAAAAAAAAAAAACCCTCCAAGTACAATATGGGTCATGTATATAGCTAGTTGGCAAGGGGTTTAGATATGAATCAGCAGTATATCACAGTCAAAAAAAAGCTAACATTGCCATCGCCCGCCTAGAGAAGCAATGTCCGATAACCCCTCTGTCCTCTGCTCTGATCAGACCCTACCTAGAGTACTGTGACCAGTTCTTGGGCTCCACATTTGGCAGGATGCTGCCAAAGGACATTGCTAAGCTGAACAAGAACCTGGGGAAGGTAGCTAGGAGGATGAAGGGTCCCACGAGCGTTAGTAGAAGCAATTAGGCATGGTTTGCCTGGAGAAGCCTAGGGATGGCAGATGGGACGTAATGGCTGGCATCAAGTTTTTGAAAGTCTATCATGCGGAAAGGGGATTATAATTGTTGCATTTGGCCCCGGAGGTAAGAACAGGAGCAGTGGGTGGCAGTGGTAAAGAGGCAGATGTAAAATCAGTACTAACAGAGCAGCCCCAAAGTGAAAGAGGCTATTTCTTGTGGAAGTGGGTTCCACCACCCTAGTGCCAACTTGGGGTCTTCAAAGGAAGACTAGAGAGGGGCAGCTAGATGGTGCTACAGTGGATAGAGCACCGACCCTGGACACAGGAGGCCCTGAGTTCAAATCTGGCCTCAGATACTTATGACCTCGGGCAAGTCACTTAACCCAGTTTGCCTCAGTTTCCTCATCTGTAAAATAAGCTGGAAAAGAAAATGGCAAACCATTCCAGGATCTTTGTCAAGAAAACCCCAAATGGGGTCACAGAGTGTCCTGAAATGACTCGACGACAACTTGTTAGCACAGTGCCTGGCACACAGTAAATATTCAAGAAATGCTCTATCAACCTACTTACCTATCACTTGTTGGGAGTATTATAGTGAGGATTCTTTTTTCAATATGGGATGGACTGGATTCCACCCAGATCCCCTTAGAGCTCTTTGCTTATGTGTGCTACTGCAGATTTGGTTTCAAACACAGCAGCTTTAATATCGGGTACCTTGTGTAACCCTGAACTTCACTGACCGGGCTGTACAATCAGTGGGTTGACAAACAACCCTGACAACGTGAACATGCCGAGCTTTGGGAAGGGTGGGTACAGTGAGGCTGCGTGCCAACCACGTGATGGTGGTGGGACAGAAGGAGCCCTCATCTCAGGGTCTCAATGCCCAAGCTTCAGCTCTTCTTTACACCCTGTTGTGAAGTTAATGACTTCACCTCTCTTGGGTTCTTTTTCTCAAAGGCAGGCTCCAGTAAAAGTAACTGCCCTAATAATCCTTCACAAGTGACTGGTATGAGCTCTGTGGATTTCCGAAAGCGGGAGAAACACGAGCCATCGCTGGAACTCTAAGAGTTAAAGGCCAAGGCATCGTAGCCATTGCCATCAACGCCTACTCTGGCCTCTGGACTCCTCCCAGGGAGCACGCCAGGGCAGCGGCTGCTGGGCCCAGCACGAGCCTCCGGTCCTGCTCTCAGCTGCTTCCTCTAGGGGGCAGCATTGCTCTAGGCTGCAATCACTAATGGAGGGGCTGAAGAATGGGCCCAGGCTCAGCAGGGAAGAAAGTGACTGAGCCTGGCTGCAGGCCCCCGGAGGCCACGCGGTCCAAAGACCAACTGCCCCTGATGGCCTGCCAGCTTCTGCCCAACAAGCCTCTTGGGATGGGGTGACCTCAACCCCCACTTCCAGAGGCCTGGGGGCTTACAATGTTCTGTTTTCACTACACGGTCAGGCAGGTGGACGTGAAGAAACTGAGGCAGGGAGGGCTGGGGGGGAGCAATCTGCCTAGATCCATGGGGCTAGTGAGCAGGGGAGCTGGGCTTCTCTCTCCTGACTCAGCATCACACCCCAGGGGGCCCCTCTGCAACCTGTGGGCACAAGAACACCCTGGTCCCTGCAAAGAAGCTGAGTGATTAATAATTCTGTTTTCACTAAGGATGGACAAAGCACAGGAACCAAGTGCACTCAAGGAGAGACATTTCTTTAGTCTGGGCCCCAGAGGGGAGAGCCAGGCATTGATTCTGATGAAGCATGGCCTCCAGGACAAAGAGAGCTGCCCTGGGGCAGGGGGGAGCCAGGGACAGCAGGGAAGGGGTTAAAGAAAGTACTGAGGGCAGATCCCACAGAACCCGTTTTCCTGACGTTCAGTCTGCCTTCCCCGAGCCCCGCTCAGAGACTGTCCCAACGTGCAGATGCTTGCTGATGCCGATGTCCACGACCCACAGACGGCGAGGTGTCCTTCCCAGGCATCTCCACGTGGACAGACGGCCCCGCAGCTCCGGGACTCACTCTGGCCAGGAAGTGGGCCACAGAAAGGTGAACGTGACTTTCTGACGAACGTCTACAGCGTAACCACTGACGTGGTGGGGCCGGGAGGGTGCAGGCATCGGGCCATCCCTGGACAAAGAGTGCAAGGCTGGTGTTTTATCTTTTATTTCCTCCCCCTGCACCCCCTCCCCAGTGAAGTCTGAAAACATAGGCGAGGGACTTGGGTATCCTTGTCTACACAGTAACAGAAGTGGATTAGCGGCGGGGACGGCGTAGCTGTGTGGAGCTGAGGAGCTACCCTGACCTTCTCGGGACAATGCAGAGAAGACTGAGGACTATGGAACACTTGCCTCCCCCCACCCACCAACCCACCAATTAGTGTTAACAAAAGCTTCATGTTCCAGTTTTAAAGTGCAAATGATTCGGGTACAACTGCTGCTGTCACGAGTCTCTTAGGAGATGTTCTCCAGGATATAAAAGGTGAGTTCCATGACCAGGGGCCCCTCGCTGAGCTGGCAGGCACCCCCATGAATCACAGGCACCAAGGCGCTGTCCAAGTCCTTCATGTACTGGGCAGGCAGAGGCTGCCCATTGCTGCCGGCCTGATAGCCAACCTGGACCAAGGAAAGAGAAGTAGACATCACTGCCACGACAGATGTGCACGTGTGCATGGGCATGTGCGCGTGTGTTTACACGTGTGGGAGTCACTTTACTGTCACCAGCAGGAGCAATGCCTGACGGTCCAAGGGTCAGGGGGTCTGCTGAGGCCCACAAGGCCCACACCCTCCTGTTGGCCCCTGGGCCCGAGGAGATGCTGTCCTGTGTCTCCATATCCCTCGATCCCCCACCCTAGGCCAATGTTCCTACAAAAGCTTAGAACAGCCAGGGAATCAATGAAGAAAATGGTAAGGAAGGGAGCCAGATCTCAAAACGATCCCGCAAAGCCGTAATCACCAAACCATCTGGTCCTCGATAAGAGACAGAGTGGAGTGGCTGATTAGGGGACAGACAGATATCGGGGCAGGAGCTGCCATTGGACAAAAACCACTGAGAAAACTGGAAAGCAGTCTGGCAGAAACTGGGCGCAGACCAACATCTCACACCAGACACCAAGGAAAGCTCAAGATGGGTGCATGAGTTAGACATAAAGGGTGAAATTATGATGAAAATAGAAGAAAGTGGAAGAAATTACCTGTTGGATCTGTGGATGGGGGAAGAGTTCATGATGAAAAAAGAGAAAGAGAGGTTCACACGAGATAAAACGGATTATATAATTCTTTGGTAGTTTGGTTAGTATGGCAAAGAGGAAGTCCATTAATTTAGGTACTGTTGTCATTTTTGTTACATTGGCTTAGCCTACCCATGATCAATTAACATTTCTCCAATTATTTCTATGTCTTTATTTGTGTGAAGTGGTTAATAACTATGTTCACATGGTTCCTGTCCTTAGAGTTCTCTCCCTACTTCCTATCTTTGCCCACTGAAGTCCTATCCTTCCGTCAAGGCCAAATCCAATGCCACGTCCACTAGGAAGCCTTCCCTGATCCTTCCCTTCCTCAGACATCATGGAGCCCATGGTTTGCACATCTGTTCTCTTTTCCATTACAGTTACTGGCATACATTATATAAATGGCTTTTGACTGACTGACATTGTATCGCCATCTTTACCCTCAGACCAGCAGTTCTTAATCTTTTTTTGTGTCACGGATTCCTTGGGCAGTCTGGTGAAGTCTATGGACTCCTTTTCAAAATAACATTCTTAAATGCATAAAATACATAGGATTATAAAGGAAACTAATTATGTTGAAATAAAGAGGTAATTTTTTTCCCCATCCAAATTCACACTGAAATTTATCCAGTGGACCCTTTAGGGAAGAGATCTAAATCCATGAGGACAGGAACTAAAATTCTCCCAGGGGTGAGCATAGTGCTCTGGTTAGAGTTAAGGGCTGGCTAAATGTTCGTGGACTGAATCAAACTGAACCACACTCACAGAAGGAGTCAGGGATGGGGTTAAGATAAAATATAATCTCTTATAAATTATAATTCTTATAAATACAACTTATAAGAATACAAGTCATTCCCCAATTGATAGTCAAAGGATATGAACAGGCAGTTCTTAGATGAAGAAATTAAAGCCATCGATATCCATGTGAAAAAATGTTCTAAATCACTATTGATTAGAGAAAATGCCATCCACATCCAAAGAAAGAACTGTGGAGTTTGAATGCAGATCAAAGCATACTATTTGTTATTTTTTTTTTCTTCTGTTGTGTTTTATTTCCTCTTTCTGGTGGTTCTTCCTATTGGTTCTAATTCTTACTTACAACATCACTAATGTGAAAATACGTTTAATAGGAATGTATATGTATAGCCTATGTCAGATTGCATGCCGTCTTGGAGAGGGAGGGAGAGAAAAATTTAGAACACAAAAGCTTATGGAAGTGATTGTTGATAAATCAAAATAAATTAATAAAGTTAAAAAAAAGAAAATACAATTTCCCAAATAAGAGGATATGAAGGAGTATGCTAAGAAGCAGGAGACAAGCCAGGTGGGTTTCTGAGGCTGGAAGCTAGAGAGAGCACTCCAAGTGGACAAAGGAAATGGTCTTGGTCTGAACACACTAACAGTCCTAAAAGAAGAATTATTTGAAAGAAAAAAATTGCACAGGGAGCCTCTGAAAAATAACAGTGGTGACGGGGCGGTTGTGGTGATGACTATGGTACCCTCCAGCACACTGGCCAGCTCCCACAGGGAAGGCCACGGGGGACTGACTGCATGTTACCTGTTCGGAATCCAGGGCCACCCGCAGTCCCAGTCGAGTCATTCCATCTTCCTTGAGCAACTTCAGGTGGGGACAGAGGGCGAGGCAGAAGGCTTTGGCCACATGCTCTGTCAGCCGGCTGTGATCTGCAGGGTCACTCAGGCCATTGTGCTGATCCTCATTTTCCAGGAAAAACACCTGCAACCCAAACAAAAAAGGGCTTCTTTTACTCAGGGCTCGGGAGAGCTCAGACTCAGTCTGGGATAAGCCCTCCGATTCCCAGCACCTGGAACAAAAGGCAGGGCCCACACACAAGATCAGAATATCCCAGGCTCAGGGGCAGAAGGGGCTTTAGAGGACGTTGAGTTCAACCTCCCAAGGGGATGCGAGTCAGTGGCAGAGCCCGGATTTGAGCCCAGCTCTTTCGACTCCAACTAGCCTTGCTCTTCCTTCCTCAGGAGTAAGGGAACGTTCTCCATCCTAGAGCTAAGGTAATTATGGAGATGTTAGAGGTTGAACCAAGATGGCCGAGGTCCTGCCCATAGGGCCACAGAAAAGGCTTCCATGTTATTAGACTGTGAACTTCTAGAAAGCAGGCCTACAAGAACTGTTAAGTCTTACGAGAGCCAGGGCTGGAAGAAAGCTTAGAAGTCTTTACGGAAACCTTATTCCCTTCCCATAGCAGGCACACAACTTGCACCAGATCACACAAGCTGGTGGCCACATCTCCTTCCTCCTAGGTCAAGGGCTTTTCTCCAGCCTTAAAGAAGAAATAATAGTGCCTACCTTCCTTCCTAGGGTCAACATGAGGGCAGAGTGAGGTAACAGAAATGCTTATGTAAGCCTAAATAAAGGATAATGGTAAACTTCATCCGCTGACTTTTTGTGCTACTGAAGGCTGTAGCAGGTCTAACTGAGGCTATCAGAGGAGTGTAAGATCTTTGAAACCCCGGCCAGGAAACAGCAATGTGAGGTGGCCTCTATCTGTTCTGACCCTGTGTGGGCAGAAGAGACTAAAAGGGTATTTAAAATCAAGAAGTTGGCATGGTATTAGCCCAATAAGGCCCAGGGGAAAGAACAGACAATGACAAAGAAATAACAGAAATACACTAATAATAACCTGCACTTCCATCCTGCCTTGAGGGGTGCAGAGAACCTTGCTCACAGCCCTAGACGTGAGCCTTAAGTTTCTTCCTCTGTACACTGAGGGAGCTAGCCTAAGGCCCCTTACAGCTAATGCTGAAGGGACTCCACTGCAGTCCAGGGACAGGAAAGAGGTCCCAGGGTTGGGATGTGAACCAGAACTCTCTCCACCGCAGCAGCCCGAGGTACTACGCAGGCATCCCTCCTTGGATCCCTTCAGCACATCCCTCTAGACCCAGGAAATGAGGTTGCTTGGGTCTAGAGCGCTGCCCATCAGTCCCCAGATATCTCCCATCTGTCTTAGAATCACATTCCAAGGTCAGAAAAGGGCGGTGTCCCCTCAGAAAAGGGCGGTGTCCCCTCCAAACACCCAGCACAGGACCACACCCAGAGTAGGTGTTCTATCAAGGCAGGGCAGGGTGACCAGAAACCTTTGCTGTTTGGGACAAGAGCTCTCCCCAAATCATTTCACCAAGATTCTAGGCCTCCTTCTGCCACTCCCTCGTGGTCCAACTTGGGGAAATCCTGTGGACCTCTGTCAAATGAGGGGACTGGACCCAGGGAATTCTAAAGTCGCTTCCTAGGTTAGCAGCAAGGGATTGTGGAAATGAGCATGGGATTTTTGATCAAGTCCTTGGCTTGAATACTAGCCCCCAAAACAAGTCAAAAATATGGGCATCACTTAGCTGTCTCAGTTTCCTCTTCATGAAGTAGAAATAGTATTTGTGCTATCAACTCATATTTTCACACAGACTCCTAGCAGCTTAAGAGTACCAGTAGGCTTCCCAGCCCCATGTTCCACCTTCTCTCTTTCTCATGCATGACCTGCTCTCTGCTCCCCAACCCAGGCCTGGAAAGGACTCTTCCCCTGCCTCCTGCATCTCCACCTGGGAAAAGCCTCCCCTTCCGTAATGACAGGGAGGCCTTGCCCTTTTCTGTGCTGCAGAACCCTTGGGGAGGTCTATGGAGCCTTTCTCAAGACTCCTATTTTTAAAGGCATAAAATATATAGGGCTACAAAGGAAAACAATTTTATTTAAATGATTATCAAAATATTAAAAGAAAGTTCACAGATCCCAGGTTAAGAAATTCTTTTTGAGGGCCTCACCTCTCCTCCGTGACTCTGATAGCTGGAAGTGAGCTCTCCAACTCACAAAACTTTGGGGCTCTCTTTGGACTAATATCCTAATCTGCACTGCAGCTGTCTGGGTCTGTGTCTTACTTCTTCTACTCAAGTGTGAGCTTACCTCATTAAGATCAGGAATTGTGTTCAAGTTAAGTTTTGGCCCCCACATGCTTAGTACGTTAACCTGACTTATAAATAGCAGGTGTTTAATAAATGCTTGCAAAGTTGTTTGAATACCTCCAGTGATGGAGCACTCACTATCTCATGAAATAGCCCAATTGACTTCTAGTCAACTCTAATCATTAGTTTTACACAGTCTGGTGGGGTAGGATGGCATCGAGCTGTACTGGGAGTCAGAAAACCTGGTTCAAATCCTGGCTGTCCTGTACGAGCCTGTGACCTTGGTTAAGTCATTCCCTTCTGAATGTATAAAATAAAGGGGCGCTGTCAAGGTCTCCTCCTGTTCCAGAGCTATGAATCTAAAAGCGCCACATCATGACATCTGGCTAGAATACTATTTCCTACAGGGTGACACTCAATGGAAGGGTGATCTGCCTTGTGTACTCTGTGTACTGGGAAGTAAATTATAGTCCAAGTGAGTAATTAGGTCAGCCACACACACGTATTTGTGCTGTGACTGAAGAATCATGGGCCTGTAGAGATCATCTCAGATAAAGTCATAAACGTTTGTATGGAATGGCACGGGCACCCAGACACACAGACACACACAGACACACACACGCACACGCACACACACAGAGTTACTGCGGTACTCCGGTTTGCTTCTTCCATTCTGAGGGGTCAGGCCCTGTGTAAGTCCTCCCTCTTTAGATAATGCCCCCTACAATGCCATGCCAGTGCCTCCCTCTCCCCAGCCCTGGCCAACATGGGTGCCAAAGGTGATCACTTTTCCAGACAAGCTGCCTTTCTCTTCCCTAATCAAGACAGCTGACGCCCATACTAGAAAGGGCTGAGAAGGGGCAAGAGAGTGCCTTGTCAGCTTGCCAAAGACAATGCCAGGTCTAAGCTATGAAGCTGGGAGCCATAGATGGCAGCTCCTCCCCGAGGAGGACTGAAAGAAGCACAGAGTGGGGCACAGAAGGCAGCCAGATTTCACCTGCATCACCAGCTTTCGGGGGCAGGCAGCCTTGGGATATGACTGAATGAAAAAAGGCCAAGAATGACCTCTAAGGATCTACAGCTGCTTCAGTTTCATGTGGAAGGGGCACACTGTGTGCACGAGGCACAAATTTCAGGCAGGCTGGCTAGGGCCCTCCACCTGCCCTGGCAAGGGTGGTATACAGCAGATGCTCCAGGTGGTGCCTGTGCCCCTGTCCTGACCAACCCCACCCTCTCCATCCAGGCTCTAGCATGCTCATCGACAGGGACAGCATCCTCTGGAGGAATGCTTATGCTTCCATGTTCCAAGGGTCCTCCGTTGGTTAGCGTGGGGCCCCTTCTCCGTCAGTATAGAAGGAAAGGCAATCCTGCCTTTAGTGATTTCAAAGGTGCTGCAGCCGATCAACAAGATGTATGCCTGGGGTCCCAAAGCCACCTGGGATGGTGAGGAGTCTCTGGATATTTATGAGGCCAATTGTCACACAACAGGCCTGAGTCAGATGCTGCCCCTTTGGATTGTGCTCAGGTCACTTCATTTCATTAAGTACCTACTAGGGGTCAAGCACTGTGCTCGGCAGGGCCCTAGAGGCATACCCTCTGTTCCCAGAGGGGGTCCTCTTGGCTGTGATGGGGCATTGAAGGAAACTTTGATGGAGTTGGGGGAAAAGGGAAGGAAATTAAAAATAGATGGGTACATTTACCAGGCCTTCAGAAATTAAATCTCAAATAACAACTTCAGAAGCAAAAACACTTGAGCTTGCTGCCTTGAAAACACTGAAACCCTAAGAGAGAGGAGGGACCAGAGAGAAGTGAGCCAGTGAAAGTTTATAGCTAAATGGAGAGATTTGGCCACAGAACCTAAAATCTTCCTGGGATTCCTTTCAGAATTGACTCAAGATACTGAGCCCAAAGAGGTTAAAAGCACCCATCTTACCTCTGTCCACCTAATGACTTTTCCATTTGCTTTATACTCTGAGCCATGGAATATCTTCACACTTGTTATGGACTCCATGGATTTACCATCGATAGGACTGACCACACTACAAAGGAACCAAGAAGAGACAAAAGCGACATGAAGTTAATGGGGAGAGAGAAGCCCCCCAAGGGCCTGCCTGGAGCTGAGCTCACACCGCAGTATCCTGGGTAAGCTCCGGCTCCTCCAGGAGCTGGCACCCTCTGGATGCGTTGGAATCGAACGCCTGAAAACTATGAGGATGCAAGCAAGAACTCTGGGCAGGGGCTGCCTGCCTTCCACTGCCAGCCTTCCACAAGCAGCCTCCTGTGATGTGGGGGCAGCGCCTCAGTGCAGTAGAACAGAAAACCCCATTTTTAACAGTGATTTCCCACTGAAGTAATGCCTAGAGAGATCTACTCATGGAGGTTTGGCTTGGGACAGAGCACAAAGTTGTCCAGCTCCAATTACACAGGGAGGGAGACAGCGATCCATCCCTGCCAGCCCACTCCAGGCAGCTCTGGTCCACAAGCCACCCATGAAGTGGGATAGGCAGGGTATCACCGATGTGCTGAAAGCTTCCTTCTCATCTTCTCTCCCATCACCAGGGCTGTCCTTCACCTGCAGTCCTCACTCTTGTCTCATAAACAGCCCACCCTCACGCTGTCTCGAATGTGGCACTGCCCACTCCCATCACGGCATGCCTCCCCATGCTGCTTTGAATGACCTTCAGTTTCGTTCTGTGATCTGAGGTCCTACAACATCCCTCCAAGAGTGATAGTATTAAAAAGGGGTGGGGGGGGGGGGGTTGGTTTCCTAGAGAAGCTTGGGGTCATATAAATGATTCTGTGTTAGCAGCTATGAGTGAGGAGATGAGTCTGACCAGGCTTCCCACCCTTGCTCTATTCTCTGGTGCCATATGAGGGAGGGGTCTGTGCAGGAACTTTGCTTTTTCCATCAGAAAGTCTCTGGAGTATGTCTTCTAGCTTAGCATATCCCTGACATCCATCTGCTGGTGGAGAGAAACCAAAGCCACTTTTCTTTCTTTATGCCTTGTTTTATTTCCATTTATAAAGTGCTTTGTAGTTTACAAAATGCTTTTCTGACAGCAGCTCTGTGGAGGAGGCAGTAGATTATCCATTTTTAAAGAAGGGGGGAAAAATAGCTCAGACTTATCTCATATGATTTCTTCACATACACTCTGCTCCAGGACTACACTCACATTCCAGTTTTTTTGCCTCCACACATTAGTTCAAGCTGTGCCTTCTGCCTGGAATACCTTTACCAGGCCACACATGCATTTCTACCTACTGTTTTTAACCCGATTCAAATGCTACTTCTCCCATTAAAGACTCCTGGATCACTCTCATCAGTGGCAACATGTCAAGCCCCTCTCTAATCACCTCTCCTGCATTACTTTCCCAAGTGTGATTTTGGGACCCTACTGGACCAGGTATCTCCATGAGGACAAGAAGCCAGAAGCCACTGAGTCAGACTTGGACATAAGCAAGAATTCTCCTACAACATGAAACACAAAGGTCTTTCAACTCCTGCTTAAAGAGCTCTAAGAAGGGAGAGGCTATGCCCTAGGGCTTAAGGCAGTCTCGCCCACTATGGGATCACTCTGTTAAGGAGATGTCCATATGTCAAACCTCAATCAACTTCTCTGTAATGCACTGGTCTCACTTCTGCCCTCTCAAGATGAAGCAGAAGCAATTTAGTCTCTCTTTTCTAGAAGAGCCCTCCAGATACTTAAAGACAGCCACTAACACAAAATCAGTTGAATGACCCCAAGCTTCTCCAGGAAACAAAAGCCCCTCTTTTTTTTTTTTTAAGGCAATGGGGGTTAAGTGACTTCCCCAGGGTCACACAGCTAGTTAAGTGTCAAGTGTTTGGTCTGAGGCCTGTTTTGAACTCAGGTCCTCCTGACATTAGGGCCGGTACTCTATCCACTGCACCACCTAGCTGCCCCTATAAGCCCCTCTTTTAATATCCTCATTCTTGGAGGGATGTTGCAGGACCACAAGTAACACCATAGCCTCTGTAGACTTGAAACTGTAGGTCATCCAAAGCGCCATGGGAAGGCAGCTGATGGCAGGAAAAGTAGGGGGGAGAGTCACATTGCAGACAGCGTCAAGCAAATGGGCTGTTCATGAGACAAAGGTCCTCTTTTCCTAGATATATACCCCTGATTCTTTCAACAAATTCTCATGGTATAAACTGGAGGTCCTTCACCATTGCAGCTGCCTTCCTCAGGATGCTCTCCAAATGTGGTCTAATCAGGACATACTGCAGTAAAACCATCTTCTCCACATTGTGCTGGTCTTCATGCAGTCTCAGAGAGAGCTAGCTTTCCTGGATCCCACAGCTGCACCTATCTCCCACTGCTCACCTGGATGTCCTATAGGTCAACTCAATAAGCATTTATTAAGTGCATGTGATGGACTAGGTCCCGTGCCAAGTGCTGGATGCCAATCACTGGTTTAAGATGCTATAGGCATCCCAAGGTAGAAGTCCTCATCTTTCCCCGACCCTCACCCTCCTCCCCACTTTTCTGTGGAGGGTCGCCACCTTTTTGCAGGCACCCACGCTGACAACTCCAGAAGCAGCCCTGACTCTTCCCTCTCACTCCTCCCCACCCCCACCCCCACTCCAGCCAATCAGTGGCTGAATCCTGCTGCTTCTGTCTTGATCCCCCTCCTCATCGGCCCCCATCCTAATTCAGGTCTCACCACCTCTTGGTTGGTCCACGGCCAAAGCCGCCTTCTTGGTTTCCCTGCACCTAGCCTCTCCCATCTCCAACCCACTCTCCACATTGTTGTCGGTCTGGTATTTCTAAAGCACAGCTATGGGGACCGTGTCATTCTCCTGGTCAAGCTGCAGGGGTTCCTTTTATCTCCAGTTTGTAATGCAAACTCCTCTGCTTGAGTTTTGCCAAGGACAGTGCCCCAGACAAGCCTGGAGAACAGAAGTCCCCCCAGCACTACTCCCCCACGTCTGAGTGGCAGCATGGGGATGTTTCTACATTGTGTCCAGGTGCTCTCTAGTCTAGTGAGGACAGCATCACTTCAGTTGATGCCTCTTCTGAGCTTGGTCCAAAGGCTCTTTCTTCCCCACGTTTCTCTCCCCTGGTCCTGAGCTTTCCTTGCAAGCACATCTTAAAATGTAATGCTTTCTTGCTCTTCATTCCCTTTACCTAGCCAATGTCCTTGAATGTGATATTCCCTTCCAGAGTCACAGTACGGTCAAAGCCAGGGTTAAGAGAATCCTGTTAGACAGAACTTGCCTCCTAGCACCTCTAACTTCACTTGCTGGTCAAGCATACTGTGCACAGGCTGCTGTACACAGACATGGGAGACACAAGAGCTTTACCACTGGCCCCTTTCTTGGGGGATGTTGCTTGTGGCATCTCGAAGGCTTTCCACATGTTAGGCACTACCCTGGGCCACAGCTTTACCAAGGTAAGAACACAATGTTCCCCACCTCCTGAGGCTAGGAGGCACTAGGGCGGTGTGGGAAGTTTAGGGCCCCCTAGTCTGGGAATGGGTGGATTTCTTTTTTATGTTCTTGTACTCAGCCTTCCCTGGTTATAGAAGGGATGGAGAGCATTTCTTGTACAGAGACAGAATGCGAGGCCCAGAGAGGGGAGTAATTTCATAGGAATTCAGAGGGAGAAGGACTTACAAAATCAGCTAGCACAATCTACACTAGGCCTGGAGGCCCCTAGGGAAGGGAGCCGCAACCGCAGCCTTGGCAGAGTGGCCTCAGGTGGGGAGGGGAGGACACCCCCAGCCAGGAAGGGCGACTGCTCTTTTTCTCTCTTTAAAGAGGGGGAAGCTCAGGACACATGACTTACCCAGAATTATAAAAGCAGTGAGTAGAGAGCCACAATCATTTACAGCTTTCTATGTATCTTTGTTCCACGGAAAGCTCATGTTTCCTTTCTTCCTTGCTCAGGGGAGGACAGCCATTCCTCAGAGGGCAGGAAAGGTGCCAGCCCTTCAGACTGTTCCAGAGCGAGGCTGACTCTCCTTTCCACAGCCCCCTGCACATGGCGAGGCTGCAGTGCTGTCTGCCCCATGCAGGGTCACGAGGGGTGTCTGGGGTCATGAGCCCTCCCCCCCCAAAGCACGTGGCCTTCAGAAGGCTCCCTGCCAGATGGGCCAAAGCCAGTAGGGGGCGCCCTCAGGGAAATGGCACCATTTACCCTTTGTTGAAGTTTTTGTCATCATCCACCCACTGAATGTGGATGTGCTCCTGAGGGTCCTCTGCATCCACTTTCCCACAGGTGATGGTAAAGTCCTTCATCTCTCGCAACGCTTGCCTCAGGGAGTCCATATTTTCGGCAGTTATCTGGACCATGACTCCATCTGCGAGAGCAATGCCGGAGCATCAAAAGAGTGGCATAAGCTTAGGAAATATTTGTGGAATGGATGAATGCATGCATGAGAACTGGAAGGGCCCTCAGAAGGCATCTCCTCCACCTGCAACCTGAAGTGTGACTCCTCTTTTAGAATATCCCCAAGGGGATCATTCAGTATCCTCTTGAACATCTCCAGTAATGGGGAACTCATTATTTCTAAATGACAGCAACTCACATTTAGACTCCGCTTTATGGTTCACAAAGTGCTTTTCCTAACATAATTCTATGGAGTAGGAAGCGCTCAAAGTCACACAACTGCTAAATTAGTATCATCATCGTATCCATTTTTCCAATAAAGAAATTGAGGCTCAGAGAGATTGAAGGAGCCTCCTTCCCTCCCTTGCCCAGATTGTCTCCCATGGCTCCTTCTCACCCACTCGACCAGCCAAGTCTCACCTGTGTCTTTCCTTCCTGCATGGGTGGCTTTACTTGTACTGTTGCTCATGTCTGCAGCATGTAACCCTTCATGAATTCCTATCTACCTGTTTAAAGGCCAATGTAAGTGCCACCTTCTTCAAGGGGCTTCCTACAGCCCTGCTTTGGATTTCTCACATGAAGCACATCATTTTTGACACTGCATCATATTGGCTGCTTGTATTTTTCTACTGGTTAAACTATTAGCCTCATGAGGGCAAGCATCCCATTTCATAATAACTGACATTATATGGTATTTTAAAGTTTGGAAAGTACCTTACATATGTTACCTCACTTGATTCTCACCACTACTTTGAGATAATAAAGATATCATTATTTCCATTTTACAGATAAGGAAATTAGGATCATCAAGATTAACAGACTGGGGGCCCCAGGCGAATAAACATCCTGCAACATCCATCTGAAAGGAGCTGAAGAAATTGAAAAGAAGGAAAAGCCAGGGTGAGCAGGAAATCTCCAGGAGCCACACTACCCAATCCTACCCCTAGAGTTCCAGTATTGCTGTTTCCAGCCCAATACCAGGTAAGCTGCCAGAATCCTATAGCCTCCAACTGCCACATCGGAGGCCCCAGCACACAAAGCCAGTGACGAGCCCCTAGGCTCCCAACACAAGAAGCTTGGGTCAGTGCCCTCTGCTCCCCAGCAGAAGAGTTCACTCTCTTTAAAGGCCAGGATATAAGCAAACACCATGAACAAAAAGAAATGTACAACAGATCCTTTTTATGGGAAGAAAGAAGATCAAGGCAGAAATTCTGAAGAGGGCAACATTGTCAACAAACCCACATTTGGAACCTCAAAAGGGAATATGAACTGGTCTGAAGCCCAAAAAGCCTTCTTAGAAGAGCTCGAGAAGGATTTTAAAAGTCAAATGAGAGAGGCAGAAGAAAAAATGGGAAAAGAAATGAGAGGTATACAAGAGAGAGTCAATAGCTTGGAAAAAGAAAGACAAAAATTAACTGTAGAAAACAAGTCGTTAAAAAATACAATTGCCCAACTGGAAAAAAAAAAAAGTACACTGAAGAAAACAAGTCCCCAAAAAATATAATTGGCCAACTGGAAAAAAGTACACTGATGAAAACAAGTCCCTAAAAAATACAACTGGCCAAATGGAAAATGAGGTACAAAATCTAATAGAAGAAAACAATTTGTTAAAAATTAGAATTGAGCAAATGGAAGCTAATGACTCTATAAGAGAGCAAGAATCAGTCAAACAAAAACAAAAGAATGAAAAAATAGATGAAAATGTAAAATACCTCATTGGTAAAACAACTGACCTGGAAAACTGATCTAGGAGAGACAATGTAAAAATTATTGGTCTACCTGAAAATGACAAAGAAAAAAACAGCCTGGACAGTAAAACTGCCCTGAGGTCCTAGAACCATAGTCATAGTAAGAATCTACCGATCTAAGACATCTCCAAAGGCCTCATGATGGAAAGTGCTATCCACATCCAAAGAAAGAACTATGAAGTTTGAATGCAGATTGAAGCATACTATTTGCTAATTTTTTTCTTTTGTTGTATTTTGTTTCCTCTTTCTGGTGGTTCCTCCTATTGGTTCTAATTCTTACTTACAACATCACTAATGTGAAAATATGTTTAATAGGAATGTATATGCACAGCCTATATCAGATTGCGCCGTCTTGGGGAGAGAGGTAAGGAAGGAAGGGGAGAAAAACTTAAAGCTCAAAAACTTACGGAAGTGATTGCTAAAAAACCAAAATACATTAATTTAAAAAAAACAAAAACATTAACAGACTGGCCCCAGGGCACACAAAGAGGGTCAAAGGTAGAACTCGAAATCAGGTCTCTGACCCCAAGCCCAGCATTCTGCCCATTTTGTCAGATGAGCTCTCAAGGGGGATTTCCTTCATTTCGAGCACCACATTCTCTGTGCATGGCAGGTAATGAACATGTTTGCTGAATTTAACTAAAAGATAAAATGATCTTCATTTTACAGCTTATAAGATTATGGATTTTTAAACCAGTTCAATCTTCCCCCACCTCTACCACCTTCTTACAGGATGAGGTTACCCAGGTAGGAATCAGGAGAGAAAGGATATAAGCTTTGATTGATTTCAAATCCACTAGGATTTAGACTATGATAGCCTTCCAAAGAGAAAACAGGCTCAGAGAGAAGCAATTTGCCCAAGGTCACAGAGTAAGGACGCAGGTTGGGATTTGAACCAGGTTCATCTGATTCCAATCTATCAATCATTTCCCTGTATCTAACTGCTTCTAGAAACTCCCCTCACTCGGGCACTACTTCAAAAAACATTTTCTCACCTGCCCTGGGTGAAGCCTTCAACCTGGAAAGAGGGCCTTGTACATTGTCTCCAAGTACAAACAATTTGCCAAGACTCAGTCCTCCATGGTTAGCATATGGCCGCCCTGATACTCTTCTCCTCCCAGGGATCCTAACCCCGGCTGCCAACATACAAACCCCACCCCCCTTATGGCCAGCCACCTCACCATCCCACTCCAGATCTGCCTGCCCATTCCCCTGTGCCCTCTACCAAGCTGGCTCCATAATTAACGAACTTTCTTGTAGCCTAAATTTTTTCCTTTCCTCACTTCTTCCATCTTGTGGCCCTTAACAAGAGCTGGCTCCCTCCAGAAGAGTCTGCATCCCCAGATGACTCACTAATGTCCTTGAGGCAACCCACTCAATTCTGAGTCAACACTGTTTGTTAGGATGCTCTTCCTTGCAAAGAATCAACCCTGAATACCCAGAAAGTCACAAGTGAGAGATCCCAGGCAGGGTTTGCGTGCTGTCAGAATCCCCCAAGATTACAATGAAAAGAACTACCCATCATCAAAGTTGCCAGTTCTAAGAACCTCCTGTCCTTTGGCCTTCTATCAGCTGAAAGGCTCCCACCCAGGTCAGCTTTAGCTAAACTTGATTAAAAAACAGACGCATGGTGATAAGGTCCTAGCAGAGACACACAGCCTGCCAGCTACCACATGGCTGACCTTCAAGGCACCTGCAATTCTACTTCAAGCCTCCTGAAGCCTCATCACACGTGACTCAGCTTCATGCTCCTTTGAGACTAGACGCGGTGCTGCTCTCCAAACCTGACCATCTATTTTTACCTCTGCTCACAACGGTGCCAGTCCCTGGCCTGCAGACTTACTGATTCAGCTATAAAATCCATCTCAAAGGCATCTCTTCCATGAAATCTTCCTATACAAGGCCCTGGTAGACATGGGTTTTCTAGAATGTACAGATCACTTAACTCCAAAGTCTTTGAATATACTTTCCAAGGAATATTTTGCAATATGGTATCTGTGTTTGGGTTTTAGCCTGCTACTAGACTGTGATCTCCATGAAGTCAAACACTATGGTTTGACTTAATATCGTATCTCCACCACCACCTTACCCAGAGTTTTGTATACAGTAGGTGCTTAATAAACTTTTTGTTGAAATAAAAATGAAGACATGATTCCTGGCCTCCTAGAGCTTACAGTCTAGCAGGGGAATTTCAAACAGAAATAATTCTAATGAAAAATGATATGGTAACAGGCAAAGACTAAGTGCTATGTAAGGCCTGAAGGGGAAAAGTTCATCACCAACTGGGGACATCAGTGAAGATTTCATGGAAGATGTAGCTTATAATATAGGCTTTAAAATATGGGAAGGACTTTTTTCTGAGACTGCCCAAGAAGGAATCAAGATGGTGTTGGTGTGTGGCATGAGTCCATTTGTTAACTGGAAATAAAAAAAGGCTGTATCAGAAAAACTCATGAAGTGCTAACGTATTAACATTAATGATTTTTCCAGTAATGTCCAGAACATGGACACCATACTGTAAGAGAGAAGGGTCTCAGAGCCACTTTCCCCTTCTCCTTCTCCCTCCCCCAGAGCCGGGTTTGGGTCTTGTTTCATTTATCTTTTCTGTTCCAGGTGCAGGGAATAGAGTCTCTGACCTGACAGCTTGAGCCATGGGGGCTTGGAGTCCAGGATTCCAGGCTGTAGCTTACAACCAACCCCGCAGGCAACCTGGCCCCAGGATGGAAAGGGGAAGGAAGGAAGGGGACAGGCTTTTAGACTTGGAACCTATGTAGTGGTGATTATGACCTCTGGTGTTTGGGGAGTGAGATGTCTGTATGTTTGTACTTGCCATACCTTTGAAGTAAATATTCCTCTGCAAAAGTTAAAAAAAAAAAAACAAAACACTCAAAGCATTAAGTATAGAAAGTTTTCTGGGTCAGAAGAACCCATGCATAGTTACCACATTTCATGTGCTGGCTCTGGCAGCATTCTCCCCCTTCCCTCGACGGTTGGGCAGGCCCTCTGCCTGAATCTTCCCTTTACCCTGCCTCTCCCTACCGGGTACTGGCAGACTTGCTGTCCCAGTAAAAGATCAGTTCCCTGGTCTGTGTCTGTGTCTCCAGCACCTGGCACAGGGCCTTGTCCAGAACCGGCATGTAATAAAGGTTCACTGAATTAAACGTATTATGTTCTGAGGATCCAGGCCTTGTACTGGTTGCTGGACCTATTCTAACATACCATCCTTACGGAGATCACCATCCACTGGGGGATGAAGAGATATAATTGCTTTCTAACCACCTGAAAAGCCAGGAAGTTTAATGGTCAGTCACAGGCTCAGCAATGGCTCTGCTTTGGCAGTACTGAATCTGGCCCAATGAAATCCCTTTCAGGTGGACCTGAACATAGTCACGTCTGAACAAAGGATTGCTCTGCTGACACTAAGAGAAGGAAGGGAAGGCCCTCCTTCTCCCTCCACACTCAACATCCTCCAGACTTTAACACTATGTCTTCTGTTTTAGTGCTAAGAAATGCTGACTGGGCTCATCAGAGCTAGGCATTTCAACAGAGGGGCCTAAGGCCTCTTGGTCCAACAACAGGGCAGTGCAAAATACACTGGACTGCACTGGGAGACTGAAATTCAGTTTTGGCTCTGACACTTAATAGCGCGCTGATTCTAGAGAAGTCATATTACCGTATTATCCTCAATTGCAAAATGAGAATGAACATGAGACATCCCCACTCTGGGTCAACGATCCAGGATGGACTGAGGAAGGGGACTGTGCCTAGGGGTGGCACTCCAAGGGGTTACACACTCCAGGCTGTGTCCACAACAAGAAGCAAGTTCAAAAGCCAACAAGAGTGGTGTGGCTTAGACACCACTCATAAGTAAGGCAAAGTCTCAGTTCCAGTGTCCAGGTCAATCTCAGATGTAGCAAGGAACCATCAGAGCAGGAAACCCAAGCCAAAGCGAAGGCTATGATTCCACCATTCTCCACCAGCAGAGCTCTCCAGCTGGCTGACAGCTGCCAAGCACAGAAGCAGTCTATGAAAATTTCCAACAGGCAAAGCCCACAGACATATGGCTCAGACCCAAACCTACATCAGGAACTTGCAGAGCTCAGCCCAGGGGGTGAGTGATCAGACCTCACTGGGAGCAATGAAAGCTTGCAGGTCCCCAGCTTGAGCTGTCTCTGAGATCTTAGAATAACATGATATTTGATACCCCAAGAAAGCAGCAGCAGGACCAGTCCAGGCATTCCCTCCAGAAGCGTGCAGAGCCCTGCCCTAACATAAAGTCTAAAGTCAAGAAACAGGACGGAAAAATGAACAAATAATGAATCCCACCATAAACTGCCATCATGATGACAGGGATGTTCACGATACAAATCCAGAAAAAGAGAATGACTCTAAAACGTCTACAATCACAGCCTCAAAGAAAAGCACAGCTTGGGCACAAATTCAGCTAGTATTCCTAGAAGAGATGAAGCAAGAGTTTTGTTTAAAATGTTTTTATAAATGCAGTTTAAGAGTGAGAGAGGAAAAACTGGAAAAGAAGTGAACTATGGAAGAAAGAATTGGAAACGGAATTAACAGCTTGGCACAAACAACAAACTCCCTGAATATCAGAATGGACTAAACAGAAGCTAATGACAGTATGAGACATCGATAAATATTAAAATGAAGTCAAAAGACAAAAAAACAAAAACAACAAGGGGGCACACACACAAGAGGCCCACTGCTCCTTCTTTACCTTCTACGATGCTGGACTTGGCAAGGTATCCGGAGGAGGCCTTCAGAGCTCCGCTGAACACGAAAAAGCCGGCCCCAGTGACTGAAATGACAAGGAGAGGCACTGAGTGAGGCTCTGGCCTCAAGAGGGAGGAAATTCCAGTGAAATACATTAAGAGGCAGGGAGAGAGGAGAAAGCAAACATAGCCTTCCCAAGGCATGCATCACAGACAACTGACAAGGTGCTTTCCTGACAAGAGTTCTGTGAGACTAGCAGAACAACGGTTCCCATTTTACAGATGAGGAAGCTGAGGCTGAGAGAAGGGACAGAGCTAGGGCTTAGGACAAGGGGACCCCGGACACCCTAGAAGTCCACTCTCCTCATTTTATAAAGAAATGAGAAGAGTAGTAGAATCTGAATCCAATCTCCAAAAAACCCCAATCCAGTGCTCCTCCCACCAACAGTAGCTCCCTTTTCTGAAGTTCTTCGTTCACATACAATATCTGAGATCTCGGCACTGTGGCCCCAGGGGAAAGGGTACCTGATTTAGTATCAAGGGACTGAGGTTTTAATCCCAATTCTATTCTTAGTGCCTATCTGACCATGAGGAAATTATGGGACCTTTTTTTGACCTCACTTTCCTTGTTTGTAAAATAGGATGGATAGCCTGTAAGGTCCCTTCCTTCTCGTCTAAAGCTATGACTCTCTGATCTCATTCAATCCTCACAACAATGCTGGGAGGAAGGTGCCATGATCTTCTCATTTTACAGAAGGGAAAACTGAGGCTCAGAGGGGCAATGTGACTTTGCCCAGGGTCACAGAGGGTAAGTGAAAGTCCAGGCCCAGCCCTTTCTCTCACCAACCTGACTCTGTAACTTCCAACCTTGGCTCCTAGTTCACCTGCGGAGGGTCAAGGAGAGACACCACATTCCTTCCTTCCTCATGCACCGTATTCTCCAGCCCTCTCACCAGACCAAATACTCTTTTACAGATATGCTCTGGATTTTCAATGGTTTCTCTAAAATAAGGTGCCCAGAATGGGATAAAAGATTCCAGATTTATTCTTACCAGAACAGAATGCAACAGGACTCTCTCCACCTTCATGCTTCCATTAAGATAGCCTGATTTTTCGTGAGCTGTTTCGGCTAGTATGTCACACTATTAACTTTCATCTAACTTACAGTCCAGTAAAATCCCCAGGACTTTTTCACAAGGGCATTAGACCCATGCTACATGTATACAATTGACTTTTTAAACCCAAGGGTCAAGCTTTACATTGATCCTCCAATTCAGTCCATTGTTTCTGGTTGTCTAGATCTTTTCGGATATTAACTTTTCACCCAAAGAGAATGACAGAATCTCAGGATCTCAAAGGCTCTCTAGTCCAAAGTGTCACCTATCTCTCCCAGTTGGATGTCATTAGCGAGTGTGACAAATATGCTACCTATTCCTTCCCTGAAGACATGTACACAGATGCTGAACCCCACAGGACTAAGGGTAGATGTGAGGGCCACCACATCACACAGCTCCCCCCCTGACAGAGTGTTCTGCTATGTGTCCTGCCATCCCCATCTGATAGCGGCCATCCTCAGGAGTAAGAATCACATGGGGATCCATGAAATGTCCACAGTGACGAAGAGTCTACAAAGCTATTTGACTCTTGTGATTACCTTGTGAGGTATATCACGGTTGGAGGGATCCCAGAATTGGGGGCTAGAAGGATCCTTAGAGTCCATCCAGTACAAGCCCCTCATTTTACAGGAGGAAGCCAAAGCCCAGGGAAGGGAAGGGAAGGGAAGTGAATCCTCCCCCTCCCCCAGAAAAGCACAGATACTAAAAAGTAGCAAAGACCAAAGACCAGACTATTAACACAGGTTATGTGACTCCAAACACAGAGCTCTGTACGCAACAAAACTCTTCATTTTACAGAAAACTGACTCAGAGAGTGCTAACAATGATCCACACATGATGACTGAGCGTGTGAATGCCCATGCCGTGACTTGAGCCCCGCTGACCTCACTGCGGACAGAGGAAGGGCTCTTCCCGAGCACTGTACTGTCAAAGAGCAGTCATACATGCCGATGCCGGGGTCACGTGGGCACTTTTGGTTGAGGGTCTGGCTGTGCTACTCTTCCCAGTTTGGGGGTCTGGAGAGGCACCTTTCACCTTGTTTGGAGCACTCCGTGAGAGTCTAGTTTTTAGGACCCCTTCTAAATCAGCTGTGTTCCTTTGGCTAAGCTCCCAACCTGCTGCCTCACAGACTGCTAGTCTTAAATGCAATGAGAGTCATTCCCTGAATACATCAGGGACTGAAACACCGGCCCAAAGTGAAGTAATGAGTACTGTGGGCAAACGAGGTTTGTGGGATCTCACTGGAGGCTCCTCCATGACACCATGACACCAAGAACACCATGAGGGAATTTACTGAGCCAGGCCAGTGAAAAGGACAAAGCACTGGAGATCTTGCTGATGTTCCCAGAAGGTCAAGGGACTGGCAAAAGTCCTTTCCTCCAGGGGGCAGCCAGGTGGTGCAGTGGATAGAGCACCAGCCCTGGAGTCAGGAGGACCCGAGCTCAAATCCAGCCTCAGATACTAGATACTTACTAGCTGTGGGACCCTGGGCAAGTCACTTAACCCAATTGCTTCACCAATAAAAAAAAAAAAGTCCTTTCCTCCTGCTCCGCAAATTTTAAGGGGCTACAGAAATGTTCACTGTCATGCTTCTCCACTGGGCTGATGGAAAAACTTCTAAACCCTAGGGCCATCTAAAAGAGAGTTCCCAGCTTCCCGGAAGTTTGAAGCATCACTCTGACCACTCGACTGGCACACATTTTATTCTATGCTGACTATATGGCCACCACTGAATACCCAAATATAAAAGCAAGGCAGTCCTTGCCCTCAAAACACTTATATTCTATTAGGGAGTTACAACACACTCACCAATGAATAAATAAAGGCCGCATCCAAAGGGCACTGACAAGCAGGGAGAGCAGGAGCAGAGCTTTGTAGAAACGGGTTCTAAGCTGAACACTGAAGGGGGCCAAGGGGTCTAAGGGCAGTGGGGAGGAGAGACAGCCATCCAAAGTATGGGGCAGCCATGAGCCCAGTTTGGCTGGAGCAGAGTGCAGGAGGGTAAGTCATGGGAAAGCAAGCCAGCTTGTGAGGAGTTTGAAATGCCTAACATAGGAGTCTGTAGTTTCTCCTCTGGGCAACAGGGAGTTACCCCTTCAGGTAAAGGTGAGACTAGACAGTTTCTAAGGTCTCTGGGACCACTCATTCTGCATGCTCTGTGTGTACAGTAGGTGCTCAAACAACGCTGGCCTAGATGACACACCTCTCATGGCCTTCTAATGTCAAAATTCTAATAGTCTATGTCAGGGGTGGGGAACCTGCAGCCTCGAGGTCACATGTGGCCCTCTAGGTCCTCAAGTGCGGCCCTTTGACTGAATGCAAACTTCATAGAACAAATCCTCTTGATAAAATGGTTTGTTCAGTAAAACTTGGACTCAGTCAAAAGGCCGCACCCCAGGACCTAGAAGGCCGCAGGTTCCTCACCCTTGGGCTATGTCATCTTCCTTACTCCAAACCCTTTAAAGGTTCATGACCCACTGCCAAAATCCAGTCTCCCAATCCCTGCTCTTTGGAATACTTCTGCAACTAATCTTTCCAGCCTCACTTTCCCCTTGCCTTTTACATAGATTAATGCTCTTCCCAAACTGGATGCCAAAGGACTACTTCCCCTCCCATCCCATTCCTACACTCACGTTTCGGTGCCTTTGCTCTCACTACTCTGAAAACCTGGAATTCTCCTCTCCCCAGCCTCCCACCATTTTTAGCTGGTGACCTTCTACCCACTCCGGAAGATCAGTTCAAACATCACCTGCTGCAGGAAGCCTATCCTGATTCATCCCAAGCTACAAGTGATCCCAGAGCACTCTGAGTTCTTTTCATGAATCCACCATGGTCTACTCTGCATTATGGAAACAAATCTGTAACAAAGACAGGATAACACTGGCGCTGCCTTCCTCCTGGAGGTGGTGTGAGGAAAGGGCTTTGTAAGCAGTGAAACTCCACAGAAATGGGGCCTCGGCTTCCTCTTAGTATATAGCGTAACGAAGCCTTCCTTAACCCTCCCAGTGGAACGTGATCTTGCCCCACTCGATGACTCTCAGAGCATTTCAGCTCTCTACTATGCACTTGCCAAGCTGTGTGTGTGTTCTGTGACCTTGATCCACTGGCCATGTCCCTTTGGCAGACTGCAAGGAGCCTGAGAGTAATGGCGAGGTTATCCTAAACTATTTCTTTCACGCCTTGCATACAGTAGACACTTAATAACTGAGGCACCGAAGCCACATCTTCTTGCTCTGCCCTCCTCATGTGTCAGCTGTCAGGGAGCTGCGTCCAGGGTGCCAGGCACCGGGCCCTGCACAGGGGGCAGGGTAGGTTTCTGTACCAGGCAGCAGTCGGGCTCCCAGGGCCCCAGCCTCCTCACCCTTTCGCGGCTGGTTGTGGATGCTGATAGCCTGAGTCTGGTAGTTGCCATCGTCATTCTGGACGCACACAAGGTGGGAGTCTGCCTTCTCGTTGAAGCAGGCTCCTCCAGCCAGCACGTGCTCATTGGACTTGTTCATGACCTTCATCATCTGTAAGCAGAACTGTGTTAGCACTCCGTCCTACTGTGGTGCCCATTTCACCTGCGCAAAGACAAACCTGACAGCAATGAATGATGCCCTCCCACTCCCACATTCCACTTAAACACCCTTAGCTAAAAACTTACAAGGCCAACCCTTCCAAAGTCAACATGTTTGGTGCTCATTGAGATCCTTCCCTGAACACAAGGCATACTTTGCATTCCTTCCCCACTGCCCACCTCTTTCAAAACAGGCCAAAGCAGGGGCAGCTAGGTGGCACAGTGGATAGGGCACCGGCCCTGGATTCAGGAGGACCTGAGTTCAAATCCGGCCTCAGACACATAACACTTGCTGTGTGGCCCTGGGCAAGTCACTTAACCCCTTTGCCTAGCCAGGAAAATAAAAAAAAAAAAAACAGGCCAAAGCGAATCTGAGACTTAAAAGTTATTTAGCTAACCCTAACAGTGTCCCTGGTTCTTTCTTCACTGCATGGAGTTCTCAGGGTGCAGTGGAGCTGAGCTCAATGTGAGCTCAGAAAGAACGACTTCTGTATGACTGCACTGGCTTCCTTTTCTCCCAGACCCATAGAGAAGAGGTCTTTCCTCAGGCTTGCATGCCCTTTCAATAAGACGTCTTATGTCCAAGTTTCTTTAGACACACATGGAGAGAAAGCACAGTGAAGCAGAATAACATTAGACTTGGACTCATCAGCTCAGGCCACTGACGACCTTTGTCATCCTGGGCAGGTCACATAACTTCTCAGGGTCTTGGCTTCCTCATCTATAAAATATGATGCAAAAGAGGAAGCATAGGGTATAATGGACACAGAGAGGGCTAGGTGGGATATCAGAACGAGCCAGGCTCAAGTCCTACCATGGACACCTTAAGCTATAAACCACTTGCTAATTTGCACTGGCAGAGGGAGTTTTTTATCCTGGGAGTAACCCTAAAGAGATGAATCAGAGGTCTAAATGGGAAAAAGGAGAGGATGATATGAATTGTGCAACATCACAGAGCTGTTCTGCATGAGGGCAGGGTCTAGGCCTTACCTAGACTTCCTATCTATCTACCCTCACATCTAGAAAAGGCTCTGAACACAAAGGCCTTTGCTGAATTAACTGATGGATCGACCAGGATCAATAAAATAACGTGATCAGCATTGCTAACATGATTTTCTGCACTACCGCACCATGATGTGAAGGAGACGCTAGCATCTGGAAAGCTCTACCAAAAGAAGGAAAGCACAAGAAAGTTCAGTAGGAACTGTCAGGTGGAAAAAGATTTGAGTACAAGTCTAGTGACACCTATCTGGTGCTAGAGTTGGCTCAACCTGAGTAGAAAGGTTCATCCCAAGAGTACAGCCACTGGGTGATGAATTCTGCAGCCAAAGCTTATCTCAAACTACCTGCCAAGATACAGGGCAAAAATCACAAGTCTCCAGAGTAGTAAAATAGTTTGGTTTTTGTTTTTTTTTTTAATCAAACCTACAATTGATTTCGCTTTTAAAAAAGTCAATTATTTGTCATCGTGTTTTTCATATGGTCTAAGTTAATAGGTCTGCAAATACTAAGACTAAATGAAAGAAAGCATTCAATTCTCCAGATGCATCTATCAAACAAACCCGACTGTAAGATCCCCTCACCCTGATGATCAATAATGTACCTGAGAGAAATAAATGAAAAATTGAGTATTTTTCTTCTTCACAATAACACCTTTCCTTTTCCTGTCCTCTACAATGGCTTCACCTCTACAGAGTTTTATCCTCAAGTTTATTTTTTGGCCTGCATTTCCTCGCTCTTCTTGTTCTCAGCTATGAGTGGAGTAAAACTGCTAGTCGGAAATCTGAATGCTTCCTATCTTCTTTAACCTAATGTATTTGTAAGGTGTCATCCCATCCTGGTTACACCTTGTTATTTCTGCACTTTGTGCAAAGGACAGCAATGTAGCACTTCTGCTATACCACCGGAAGGATTCAGACAAAAACTGAATTCCTCCTCACACACTGAGGTTTAGCAACTGTCTTCTGCAGTGCTAATATAAACCACTTCCCTCAGGATCCCCAAGAAGAACTTAAAATAGGTTTGGGGTTTTTTCCTTCCCCAAATAGGGGACATCAGCTTTTGCCACAGTCATTTGTAGTTGAATTTATGACCTCATTTGTAATGTCCTTTTCTAACAAAGGGGAAGAGCCGAGATGATCACACATTTCAGGCTGAAGGAGCACTGTCCAGCCAGGGATCTCCAGGCTAAAATTAGGCTTTATTTTCCCCATGGTTGGGGCCAAGGGCTGTGGGGCCAACGAGCTACCATACTGAGACACTGCCCCGGTGTGTCAGTTTCAAGCATAATTAACGAAGTTGAGCTCCATGATTTGCACAAATCTCCACAAGCCTTCAAGTCTGGACAGACGTATCTTTTTAAAACAATTTTTAGCTTTCACCAGGTGGAAATACTCAGTTACATATTAAGAGTATGGGTGAAGGGACAGAGCAACCGAGTGGACAAGGAGACAAATGAAGATGTGGAGCTGGTATTAAAAAGTATAAGCAGAACCCTATGGCAGCTCAAAGAAGGAAAGGCAGACTCATGGAAGAGGTGGCAGCATTTGAGAGGCACTTTGTCTGAAGGCTAGGTTTGGCTTCCATTGAGGGGCAGCATCATCGTGGCACTGACTAAAGTATGTCAGCTTCATGTAAGGATGTCCATTCCATTTCCTTTATTAACAGTAAGACCTGGGATTTTCATCATGCTACAGCGGGAAGAACACTGACTAGAAAGCCCAGGAGGCAACTCTAATCTCCGTGGAAAGGTGCAGGGCCTGAGCTGGGGCTTCACTGGTCCAGGAAAACTCACTGAGGAGCCAACTTCTTCTACCAGTGCAGGGTCACAAGAGGGACTTTCCTGCTCTGCCATGTCATGGGCCATGGCCTCCTTCAGCAGTCTGGTGAAGTCTCCCACTAGTCTCCCCAGCATGAGAATGATTCTCAGAATGTCTTTAAAACATGAAATAAAGTGGAAATATGTTTATAAAAACATTTTTTAAAAAACCACCTCAAGGACTCTAGCTAGACCTTTGATTAGACACTGTCTGGGGCTGGAGCTCACGTGACTCGTCCAGAGTCACAAGCTAGCACATGACTGAGGCAGAACTTTAAACCAGGCTTCCCTGACCAGTACTGCCTCACACAACTGGGTGATTTGGGTGAATCACTGAAGCTTTGTGGGCCTCGGTTTCCCCCTCTGTGAAATGAGGGGCTGACCTCAATGGCCTCTCATGTCCTGTCTAGATATCTATGTAGGAGCCTGTGACCCCAACTAGGAAGGCCCTTTGCCCTGGACCTTTACTTATAAGGCCCAATACTATATATCCTGGGAATGCTCTCAGAACTATCGCAGGCATCCTTGGCTTCGGTTTGTATCGCTTGGGGTTCCTCTCCAACACTCAATCCAGGGATTCTAATTCCTAAAGCAGAGTTTTTCCCAAGAGAAAACACTGGAGTATAGAAAATCCCCGCTATCCTTAACATAACTGCCAACTTGATCACGTTCTTTCTCCTCTACTAGTCTGCTACTTTAGAAAGACCACCGGATTTGCAGTCAGAAGACCTGGGATCTCTGCTGGTTGTGGGACCTTCGTGGAAGTCACCGTCTTTCTCTGTACTTCAGTGTCCCACTCCGTAAAATAAGGAGGGTGGACAAGCTGGTCTCCAATGTCCCTTCCACTTCCTATGACCCCTGTCAGAAAATCTATCTACGAGGAACAGAGACTATGCCTTTGTGGTGAGGGTACAGTGTCTATCACAGTGCCATATAAACCAGAGGCCCCATAACATGCTGATCACAGAAATGAAGAAGGACTGCGGGACAGACAGGAAAACACTGACAGGAGCTTGTACAATAACCTCTTCTAGTGATGTGGGCAGTAACCCAAAGCTCTGCCTCAGGGGAAGGGGGCCCCAGGTGCTGAGCATTTCCACTTGGTGAAATCCCACCCTGCCCTCACACACTAGTTGAAATGCTACTTCCTCACAAAGACTTCCCTGATGTCCCCTGGAGGGATGGCGTTTCTTTTTCAGACCTCACAGAACACTTTGATTATATACTACCTAATGCCCTTCCCAGGTTTTATTGTGTATTAGTTATTTACGGACAGGTGGTCTGCCTGCTGTGCTAGGTCTCCCGTGATATGCTATGAGGGGAGGAGTCCTTGGCATGGATGGACTTCAGAGGTGGAAAGGCCTTTGCGGTTTAATAATCTAGTCCAACCCAGCCCTGACCAGGAACTCCCTAAACGGTATAATCCCCACCAAGAGGTCATCAGGAAGTGTTTCAGTCTGCAGACTGCCAAGAGGATGAGAAGCACCTCATTTTGCTACTCCATCAACATTCTGATACTGAATTGAATGGGATTAATTCAGCCCAAAGCGACACAAGGGTTTTTGGCTGTGGAGTCACTCACAGTGAGTGAATCAGAATCCCCAGGGGGTTGTACCCAAAGTGCTGAGGGTGTAGAAGTTTCCAGTTATTCCTTATGTGTGGCAGCCTCGGCCCTGGACACACAGGCCTCGGTCTATCACCGTGACTTAACTCCATGGACCCATAACTCATATGTTAAGTTCCAGGTTCCACCTTCTGTTAACTGAACTAAAAGAAGGTCCACTCTTCAATCCATCTGGAAAGCTCCCTCTCCCTCCTCTAATTCATCCTCTGGGAAACATTTCATCCACTCCTCCGCTTTGTTTGAAAAGAACAATACCAGCTCCCACGTCTGCAAAGAAAAACAATTCTCCCCCCGATGGCCAGGAAGCTTGCTACTTCCCAGACACACTTCCAGCTCATCTGTCTGTCTGGTCTCCACTGCCCTGGCCACAATGAACCCTTCAATGGGGCTTCTGTACCTTCACAAAAGTCTCAACAGCGTATACGGGTTAAGAATGAAAATAAACCAGCTAGAGAACCCAAGAACCACAAAGGGCCTTGAGAGCTGGTTCAGTCCAATGCTCTGCTGGTGAAACTATCCCAGCTGAATGGATGACTGTAAAGCCAACAGTAATTAATAGTAAACTTTCCACTGTCATCCTAGACTCATTAGAAAACTACCTCCATCTACAGCATCAGAGGAGAAATTCAGTAAATGTCAATAAAATTCAACTTTTCTGAAGCACTGAGAAAATAATTACTACTTGGCCCCAATAATAGGCAAGATAACACAAAAGCCCAAAAGTCTTTTTATTATCCCTAGGCTAAAAGCACCAATATCATCAGGAAACCCAATTGTTTTTAGCATGTTCTTTGGTTGACAGAAATGAGATGATGGTCTATGCCATATTCTTTTCTCCAGCACTTCTACTTACTCTGTGGAGGTAAAGATAAGAAGTACACAAATCAGTTCAAGACAGTTTGGGAAAGGAGACAATTAACAAATGACTGGAAGGACTGAAGAGGGCTTCCTGGAGGAGGTGGCCCCTAAGCTGAGCTGAGAAGGAGAAGAAGGGTTCCAGGCCAAAGCAGGAAGCTGGCAAGTGGGATGGGATTTGGGGAATTGCCACTGGTTTAGCTTGGGTCTTAGAGTCCTAGGCTTCCTTGAGCACTCAAATGCTCCCTCCTGCAGGAGGCCTCTCCCAGGCTCTCCCACACATACCCTCCCCAGCTGAAACTGCTCTTCACCAGCTCAGAATGTATCCTACATGTGCCTGGTTATGTACATGGTGTCTCTCCCATTAGAACAGGAGCTCCTGGAGGACTGGGGCTATTGCATGCGTACCCCTAAGCAAAGTCCCATAGGCACTTCATAAACGCTGTTAACTGACTGGAATGGGTGGAAGTAATATGGAATGAGGCTGAAAAGCTAATTTGAATCAAGATCATGAAAGGTCTTAAAAGTGAGGCTAAAGAGTTTGTATTTTATCTTTTTTCAGGGAAGACTCATGTCATCAGACTGCTACTTTACGAAGACGACTCTGGCAGCTGTGGAAAAGATATACTGACACGAGGAGAAACCAGAAAAAGGCAGAGTAGCTGAAAGGTCTTCAGGATCTCAACACCTCCTGCTTCACCCCCACCTACTACCAGCCTATTACAAGAGTCAAGGCCAGAGGTGATAAAGGATGGAACTGAGGGTCTGCACCAAGGTGATGAGGCCTCTAGGTGGAGAAGAGGAGATGGGGTGAGAGGTATTGTGGTGGGGATTCACAAGACTCAGTGACAAAGTGGATGGAGGGAGGAGCTAAGCACAGAGAAAGCTCAGGCATGACTCAAGTATGAACCTGGGTAATGGAGAAGATCAGAGAATTCCAGGGTCCCAGAGCTGGAAGAGACCACATGAGCTATTCAGTCTAATCCGGACATGAAAACAAAACTGCCTGTCCATCTTTTTGTAAAAACAAGTGGTCATCCAGCCTTTGCCAGAAGAGATTCTAGTGAGGGAGAACTTTCATTTTACCACTGTCAGGAAAGCTTTCCTTCTACTAATTAATGAGTCAACAAGTATTTTAAGCAGCTGCTGGTTGCAATGCACCACGCTAGGGGACAGGGTATAAAAGGACAGAGAATGAAACAATGTAATGGGGGAGACAAGAAGTACACATATAAATGTATACTGTATAAATATGAAGTGAAGAAATTTAAATACATACAAAGGAGTTAAATTCAAGGTAGTCTGGAAAGGCAGACACTTGCGGCTGAGGGAATCAGAGCAGTTTCATGTGCTTGGGCAGAGTTTTAAAGCAAGAGGGGAAAGTGCACTCTAGGCCTGTGGCAAGACCAGAGATGGGCCATGTCCAACGAAGCTGGGAAGAGGCCAGGGTCAGGTAGTATAGGACTTTAAACGCTACAAAGGAGACACTGTATTTTATCCTAGAGGCATTAAGGATCCACTAGAGTAGGTTTAGGAGAGGAATCACATGGTCAGACTGGCATTGGCAGCTGTGAATAGGATGGACTAGAATGGTGTGAAACTTGAAACAGGGGGGCCAATTAGGAAAGAATGCAGGAGGAAAGGGTCACACAGAATCAATAGTGTCAAATGAAACACCAAGGATGAAAACTGAGGGAAAGAATCCCATCAGATTTGGCAATTAAGAGATCACTGGCAACGCTGCAGAGGGCAGTTTTAGTTGAATGATGAGGGTGGAAGTGGGACTGCAAAGGATAAGCAGTGAGAAGGGAGGACAAGGGGGTACTGAGCAGAGACAACGCATTCTGGTCTGGCTGAGAAAGGAGGAGAGAGGACGTGGCCATGTCACGGGCTTGAGAAGGTTTTCTGAGGGTGGGAAGATAAGGCCTTTCTGAAGGCCATAGGAAAGGGGCAGGTTGACAGGGAGATGCTAAAGATCCGAAAGGCACTGGGGGGTGACGGGCATGATGTGTTGGAGAACACAGGAGAGAATGGGATCACGTGTACATGCGTGAGACAAGGAGAAAGGCCACCCCATTGTCAGAGATCGGGGAAAAGGAGGAGAGAGTGGGACATGATTTAAAATGGCGTTAAGATGAAGAGAAAGGAGGAAGCGGGCACGCATGTTGGTGGACTCCTTTTTCTTAGTAAAGCAGGAGGAAAGGCCTTCAGCTGAGATGAGCGAAGGGAAGGTGTTAGAGGACTAAGGAAGGAAGAGAAAAATTCTGTATCCATTTTTGCAGGGAATGAGACAGGAAATCAATTTGAAAGGAATAAAAGGATTGTCTTGCTGCAGTGAGGACTCAGTTAAAGTTGGATATCATGAATTTGTAATACAGCCATTCAGCACGGTTGTGAGTTAGTTGGGGGTACAGTGGCTAGAGAGCTGGGTTGGAATCAGGAAGATCTGAGTTCAAATCCAGCCTCAGACACTTACTAGCGATGTGACCTTGGGAAAGTCATTTAACCTCTCTGTCTCAGTTTTCCCAAGTGTAAAATGGGGATAATAACAGCACCTATCTCACAGGATTGTGAGAATCAAATGGGATAATATTTGTAAAGCGCTTAGCACAGTGCCTGGTATGCAGAAAGTGCTATATAAGCTAAATGTTTATACCCTTCCCTCTCCTCCCCGTGGTGAGCATTCCTCTAGCTCTGGTCCCTCAATTGGTGGTGCATTTCCTCTGCACTCCGAAGTATCTCAAATTTATTCCATATATATATTCTGTACTTACAGATCAGTGTACATGTTGTCTGTCTGTCCCCACCCCTAGTAGAATGTACACTCTTTGAGAGCAGGGAGTCGTACTTTTGTCTTTGTAACCCTACAGCTAGCACAACCCCTGGCACCCAAAGCGTGCAGAATAAAGGCTTGCTGGGTGACACTGAACTGCATCTACCGAAGTCTCAGAAACCCGCATGTCCATGAAGCCTCCCTGACTGCGTAGGGCTTCTCTCCCCACCTCCCACTCTACACCTTCAGACTCAGCTTCTCGAGAGCTGGGTCAAGAATGGATCTGATATCTCCGTATTCCCAGCAGCAAGTACAGGTGACTAGGAAATGCTTAGGGACTGAAAAAATGAAGGAATGCATCAACATACACATCTGCTGAGATTCTTACCTCATTGTATCTGTTGCTGGGGATTTTAATGCTGGTTTTCCTCACTTCCATGTCAACCACCAAACCCTGAACCACGGGCAGCGTGTACTGGTAATTTCGGAAGTCCTTAGAATTGCAGATCACAGGGTCAAAAAGCAGGCATTGGGGTTAGGACTGATTCACAGAAATTATACATACATATATGTAGGTTTACATTTCTAATGTAATAAAGAATTATATGATAAGCACCCCATATACCTCCAAAAAAGTGGGTAACCTAGTATATTAAGTGAGGATCTTCACAATTTCAAGTTTCATTAGACTACAGGATTGAGCCCCAAATGTAAATCAAATTTTAATAGGAAAAGCCAGTGTGGAAGTATTGGAAACTAGCTCATTCACAGCTTAAGGCTCTACAGTCACAGCGACTGATAAGGCCACCCAGATTTTACTTTAATTCTGACATCTTTTTACCATGTTCATAAGATAGACAAATCCAAAGGATTTCTTCTTGAATTCTTTGGATAGGCTCAAATCTACAGGATTTGACTGTGATGCTCAACAGGGAAAAGGAGAGCAGGGGACTGGAAACTCCTAAGAAGGAATATCACGCATCAGGAAATGTGCTTGTGCAGACTGTGGCCTTTCTAGAAAGTGACACCATAGTATAGTCACAGACTTGTCTCCAAGCTCTTCTCTGTGAACGCACGCAAGCCCCCATGAGAGTATTTCAAACATGCATTCAGGGGCTTCTTGGCCCCTCCTTCCCAGACCCAGACTGGGGAAAAGGAGGACACACTTACTGCAAGAAGATTCATGATCGTGTGTCCTGTTTCTCCAAACAATGGCTTCCGAAATCTGACACTAAACAGAGGGCATGGATAAACTACAGAAATACAAAATAAACAGATGCAACGTGAGGATGGCCTGTCAGATAGGAAAGGCATCAGAAATACATTTGAACAGCTTTTATCACAGCATGAAGAGACATTAAGGTTCTGAGAATGTCTCTTATTATGGAACCCCACAAAAATGTCCCCTGATCCAACATGCCCAAGATCTCCTGAGAGGCCCTGAGGAGCTTTCTCCTGCAGTGGGACAGTAATGTAGAAACTTCTGCCAAATTTCTGAGCTCTAGCAATAAGGCCTTTTCTACTACTCAGCCCAAGGCTCTCTCCCTCTGCAAGTGTTCCTGGATTACTTGTTTGGATCTCTCCTCTGCACCTCACATCTTTAGCCATGTATATGTACATGTCACATCTGTACAGGTATTATATGTGTACATAAGGCACCTGGAGGGGTCCACAGTGCACACAGCCCTAAACCTGGAATTAAGAAAACCTGAGTTCAAATCTCTTCTCAAACACTTACTAGCTATGTGACCCTGGGCAAGTCACTTAACTGCTGCCTGCCTCAGTTTCCTCAACTGTAAAATGGGGGTAATAACAGCACTTTCCTCAAAAGACTGTTGTGAAGATCAAATAAGATAACAATAAAGCTCTTAGCACAATGTAAGCACTATATAAATACTGGCTGTTATTATTGTTTTTATTGTTACACGTCACAAACTTCAGTGAATTACAATCATTTTGACAAGAGGGGCTGGGTCATTATCTAATTTTTAATTTACAGTGCAAAGCACAAGGCCTGGTACATAGTGTGTGCTCATGGAAATTTTTCTTTTCTTTTCTTCTCTTTTTTGGTGAGGCAATCAGGGTTAAGTGACTTGCCCGGGGTCACACAGCTAATAAGTGTCAAGTGTCTGAGGCCAGATTTGAACTCAGGTCCTCCTGATTCCAGGGCTGGTGCTCTATCCACTGCGCCACCTAGCTGCCCCAGGAAATTTTTGTAATTGTGGAAGTGGGGGGACATCAGTCAGTCAATAAGCTTCTATTATGTGCTGAGCTTGTTCGAGGCTCTGTGCTAAGCACTGACGATACAAAGAAAGGCAAAAGAAAACACAGAGTCCCTGCCTTCAAGGAGCTCCTAATCCACTGGGGGAGACAACAGACAAAAACTAGGTATAAACAAGTCAGGAAAGTCAGGAATGAATGAGAGATGATCAAGAGAGAGAAGGCATCAGGAAAGGTCTCCTGTAAAAGGTAGGATTTCAGATGGGACTTCGAGAAGGCGGCAGGGGAAGTCAAGAAGGTTTAGGTGGGCAGGAGGAGAACCAGGGAAGAGCAGTACCCAAGGACAGACAAGAGGCTGGTCAGTACTAGGAGGGAAAACAGCTCAGATCACTGGGGGTATGGATGGGTTGGGGACACTCCCCGCCACCGCCTCTGCCCAATGCCTTGATTTAGGATGTTCCCTGACCCTATGAATTAAGCAGCAAACATCCATTATGTACCTACTGGGTGCCCAGCCTTGTTCTAGGTACTGAATACAAAAACAAAAGTATAACAGATCTTGCCTTTCTTTCCCTTAGAGGAGACATGAACTTTCTATAGAGAGATGAGTCTATACAAAATAAATACAGGGAACACTTCCTAAAGGAGGTGGTATCATTCAGGACAAACAACCAGAAGGCCAGGTTTGGGAAGGGCAGATTGGGCCCAGGTTGTAAAGGGCTTGAAAATCCAAGAAAGACATTTACTTTTGTTATTTTTTAAATTAAATGTTATTTTCATAAAAATTCACCTTCTCTTCCTCTCAGTCATGTCAAACAAGTTTCCACAATGGCCACATCAAGCCAGACGGCCTCTACGTGCCCGCTACACCCGTCCCTCCTCTAGGAGGAGGAAGGCAGTGGCTTCCTCCCAAGTGCTCTGCAGTCGTGTTGGTCCCTGCGCTGACCAGAGCTCCTCCATCTTTCAAAGTTATTGTGCTTACAATACTGCCATTGCATACATTCTTCTGATACTACTCACTTCATTCTACATCAGCTCCTACAAGTGAGAAGTTTCTATTGGCTCTTAGGGGCAACAGGAAGCTATTTTAATTGACTGAACAGGGAAGGGACTGATACGGCCAGGCCTGGACTTTAGGAAAATCATTCTGGCAGATGTGTAGATGATTGCTTGGAGTTGGAAGAGACATGAAGTACGGAGATCAATGAGGAGACTATAGCAATGGTCCCACAAAAAGGGGATGAAGGCCTGAACGAAGGCAGCGGCTATGTGACTGAGGAGAAGGGGACAAACGCAAGAGATTTTGTGCAGACAGAAATAAGATGTGGCAATTGACTGGGGATGTGGGTGAGGGATGGGGGGGGGGGGTCTGAAGCTGGGTAACTGCAGACACAGGAGTTCCCCAGCACCAGCAGCAGCATCAGCAATTCGAACAGTCTTGTTCTCGGCTCAGAGAGATAAGGGGTCCTGCCCATGGTCAGACAACTACGAAGGATCAGGGTAGGCAACCTGTAACTCCAAATCTCGTACTCTGCCCACCATACCATGGGTCGTCTCTGTTTTATGATTTCAAAGGGCAGCTACAGATAATGCATGTTTATAGTCAGTGTTAGGGCTCACAGGAGGGTTTTAACTTACGTCTGTATTCTGCTCCAAGCCTCAGCATTAGTCTGATGGGGAATACTTTTGCCCAAGGAGTTTCCCACTTCTGGATAAGAATCCCAAATAAGTATGGTGGAGTTGGGAGCACCAGGTCCTGCAATGACTGGTAAGTTGATGTGACATACAAGAATCCACCATGTTCTTTGCTGCCCAGGAAACTCTGGCTGAAGAAGGAGTGTCCCAGACAGCTGACGACATTACCTGAAATAAAGGTCTTTATTAATTTATAGAATTTTCTTTGAATCCACAAGCTTCTGGCACTAAGAACTGAGCACTGTGTGGGAGAGAGATACTGTATAATAACATTGATGATGGTGATGATGATAACAATGACAACATGACTACACATGAGCTTACATTGTAATATTTTTAGTCAACAATTAAAAAAGCAGGCATTTTATCCATCTGAACAAAAATCTACAGAACATCAAATATAAAAGGAATATTAAAAGGATGGTGACTTATCCCAGAACCATTTCTATCTGGATTCCTTTGAAAAAGATGAAAACAAAATAAATAATAAGAATAGTAAGATTTCATTTTTAAAATTTAAGATCTACCAAACACCTAGAAAAAGACAACCGGGTTGCTAAAATAATACATCAAAAGTTTGCTATGCTTTATAAACTAACTAGAAAAGAAATCCTCATCCTACACAACCCAAATTACTCTTGAGAATTCAACAAATCGTGCTGGAAATGAACAGATACAAAACTGCTACCCGCAAAATCCTGGAGATTACACTGATTCATAAAAATTTAAGAGAATACTGTAACAGATTTTGCCAAAGCAATTACTCATGATCTTAAAGCTCACATTATGATATAAAAGGCTTTCAAAATATAGAGAAAGGTAGAAGAAATTAAAACCACATGGGAACATATTAGGAGCTAGGTGGCGCAAGTGCTGAGCCTGGAGTAAGGGAGACCTGAGTTCATACAACTAGCATATTAGTGACCTGTCTGCCTCAGTTTCCTTGACTGTAAAATGGGGATAATAATAGCACCTACCTCCCAGGATTTTGGGGAGGACAGAATAAGACATCTCACTGAGCTAGCACACAGTACGTGCTCTATAAATGCTTATTCGATCTTTCCAATAGATAAGGTAATACTAATATTAAAACTAACTAGCATTGACAGAGCACTTTAAGGTTTGTGATACACTTTATAGGTGTAATTTCATTTGCTCCTCCTAACCGAGGTAGGTGCTACTTTTGTCCCCATTTTACAGATGAGGAAACTGAACCCAGGGTTACACAGCTACTCAGAATTGGAGGCTGCAGTGGAACAACGCCCCCCACCAAGACACCTCACTAAATTCACAGAGTGTTAGCTCCTAAGGTTGTCCCAAAGCAGGAGATATCAAGAAGCAAACAAAAGATATCAAACAAAATCAAAAGAATGAAAAAATAGAAGAAAATGTGAAATATCACATCAGAAAAATAACTGATCTGGAAAAAAGGTTGAGGAGAGATAATTTAAGAATTATTGGACTACTTGATAGCCATGATAAAAAAAATTATAAAGGAAAACAGCCCTGATATTCTGTAACCGGAGGGTAAAACAGAAACTGAAAGAATCCACTGATCACCTCCTAAAAGAGATTTCAAAATGAACACTCTCAGGAATATTATAGCCAATTTTTAAAAAATTATAGCTAAATTCCAGAGTTCACAGGACAAGGAGAAAATATTTCAAATAGCCAGAAAGAAACAATTCCAATATTGTAGAGCCACAGTCGGGATAACACGAGACTTCGCAGTTCCTACATTAAAGCATCAGAGCGCTTAGAATATGATACTCCCAAGGGCAAAGGAGCTAGTATTACAACCAAGAAACACCTACCCAGCAAAACTGAGCATAATTCTTTGGTGGGAAAATGGACATTTAATGAAATAGAGGATTTTCAAGCATTCCTGGTGAAAAGACAAGAGCTGAATTAAAAATCTGACTTTCAAATATAAGACTCAAGAGAAGCATTAAAAAAGGTAAACAGGAAAGACACATCATAAGGAACTCAATAAGGTTAAACTGTTTACATTCCTACATGGGAAGATGATACTTGTAACTCATAAGAACTTTCTCATCATTACAGCAGTATGAAAGAATGTACATAGAGGGCACGGATGTGAGTTGAATATGATGGGATGATATCTAAAAAGATGAAAGTAATGGATGAGAAAGAGGAATGCACTGGGAGAAGGGGGAAGGGAGAGGTAGAAAGGGGCAAATTATCTCACATTAAAGAGGTACAAAAGAGCTTTTACAGTGGAGGGGAAGATGGGGGATTTGAGGAGAAAGCTTGAACCTTACTCTCATCGGAAGTGCCTCAGAGAGGGAGTAACAGACACTCAGTTGGGTATAGAAATCTATCTTAGCCTACAGGAAAATAGGAGGGGAAGGGTATAAAAGAAGTGGGATGGGGCTGATAGAAGGCAGGGTAGATTTAGGGAGATAGTAGTAAGAAGCAAAAGACTTTTGTGGATGGAGAGGGTGAAAGGAGAGAGTAGAATAATGAGGGGGAAAATAGGATGGAGGGAAATACATTCAGTAATCATTAATGTGAAAAAATTTTATAGAAAATTTCTCTGATAAAGGTCTCATTTCTCAAATATATAGAGAACTGAGTCAAATTTACAAAAAATAAGAGCCATTCCCCAAATGATAAATGATCAAAGTTATGTACAGACAGTTTTCAGATGAAGTAATCAAAGCTATCTATAGCCATATGGGAAAAAAATGCTCTAAATAAGTGCTTCTTAAGCTGTGGGTTGCAACCCTATATGGGGTCCCAAAAAAATTTTGGCAGTAGTAAAAGGTTTCTGAATGTGCAACGACCGAAAATTAATTCAAAATCAAAAGCGTAATGACTCCAAGGTGTTTCTGGAAGCCTGTGCTGCATCGTACATCTTCACTGCACCACTGATTCGAACACAAAGTATGCACACTTTCCACTGCACATGCCCTCAGGCCACGCAAAAGCATGCCATGAAGCTGTGAAACTCTAAAAGGGGTCACAAGTGGAAAAAAACTGAAGAAGCCCCATTCTAAATCACTGCTGATTAGAAAAAGAAAAACTGAAATGATTCTGAGGTACCACTTCACACCTGTCAGATTGGCTAGCATGAAAGAAAGCGAAAATGACAACTGTTGGAGATAATGTGGGGAAAATTGAGACACTAATGTACTGTTGGTGAAGTTGTGAACTGATTCTACCATTCTATAGAGCAATTTGAAACTATGCCCATATGGCTATAAAACTATGCATGCCTTTGGACCCAGCAATACCACTACTAGGTCTGTATCCCAAAGAGAAAAAAAAAGAAAAAAGAAAAAAGAAAAAAGATCTATATTTACAAAGACCTACAGCAGCTCTTTTCTGGTGGCAAAGAACTGGAAATTGAGGGGATGCCTATCAACTGAGGAATGGCTGAACAAGCTGTGATATATGATTGGGATGGAATATTATTGTTTTATAAGAGATGATGAGCAGGATGCTTTCAGAAAAACCTGGGAAGACTTACATGAATGGATAGCAAAGTGAAATCAGCAAAACCAGAACACTGTACACAGTAACAGCAATACTGTGTGATGATCAACTGTGAATGACTTAGTTATTCTCAACAATACAATTATCAAAGACAATTCTGAAGGACTTATGATAAAAAATTTTATTTATTCCCAGAGAAAAAACTAAAGGAGTCTGAATACAGATCAAAGCATACCTTTTAAAAAAATTTTCTTGCATTTGTTTGGGTTTTTTTTTTTTTTTGGTCTGTGTTTTCTTTCCCAACATGACTAACATGGAAATATGTTTTTCATGACTGTACATGTATAATATATCAAATTGCTTGCCTTCTCAATGAGGGGAGATGGGAGGGAAGGAGAGAATTTGGAACTCAAAATTGAAGAAAACAAATGTTAAAAATGGTTTTTACATGTAAATTGGGGGAAAATAAAATACCAAATAATTTTTTAAAGTTTATTAGAAAAAAATAAAGTTGTACATGTAAAAAGAAAGAGAGAACCACTGCACCATACGTTTAAAAAAAAAAAGAGGTAAACTATTTATAAGAGTAAAAGAGGAGGGGAAGGAGGGTAGAAAGAAGCATATTAGTATTATGGGAGACAGAGAGACCGGATTCCCTCATCTGTATCTGTTCTAGATGGGGCTGGTCCTGATTTCTAAGCCTCAGTCCAAAGCATATCATGAAGCCCACAATAAGAGGAAGTGACATCGAGGGGCAGCTAAAGCCACACATCCAACCACAGGTGGGGGCTGGGATTATCCGTGGATCCTCAGCACTGCTTCCTTTCATGGGGCTGAAGCAGAGAAGTCTGATAAGTCCCATCCCACGTATTTCAGCTCTTACTAGACATTCTTGTAGGTTAAGTCTTTGTGCTAAAGAATTCTTTCATCGCTTCTCTAACTCCCTGTACTTTGCTTCTAGCTTCTTGGAATGTGCATCCAGCTTGTGGCTGCCTGCTCCACACCTGCTACTCGCCTCTCAAGTAAAGTGATCTGATGCAGATAAGGCTGAAGCGCTGCACATTTCTGGTTTAAGTCCTTCAGTCCTACTTATGTTTACTGCAATGTCTTTCATTTCTAGATACTTCAAGCTAAACAGTTTGTTCATATTTCCCAGAAGTTTATAGTCTTCGCTGGTGGCTGACAGCTCACCCATCAGGCAAATGGGCATTTGGAGAACATGTCCTGGCACAGCCCCCCTAACTGTTCACCTCAGTGGGCTCCGTGGCCTCCTTGGCAATCTCCACCACTGCATCACCTTGTCCAGACCCTACCGCTGGATGCAAGGACACCCTCTGCCACTCTAGTGTAACTTCTGTTCTCAAGTTATTCTGTACTTGCTTATGTGTCAAACTGAGAGCTCCCACACAATGAAAATTCCTTGCAGGCAGAGCCTCTTTTTCATTTTTGTCTTTGCATCCCTATTGATGAGTAAAATGTAGAACCGACAATTAACAAACGCTTGGTGAACTACTTCCAAGCAACAAGTGATGTAATAATAGTTCACATTTCCACAGCATTTGCATTTTATCTTTTCTTCTTAAATAAAATAATAATTCACTTTTTGACAGGTCGTTATGGTTTATCATGGACTCTCCTCACAACAACCAATTAAGGCAAGTGTTATCCCCATTTTACAGATGAGGTTTGGAGAGGCTTAAGTGATTTGC